TGATTCTCTCTTTATCTTTAACCTTTGGCATTTTAATTATGATGTGTCTTGGAGTGGGCTTTCTTGCATCCATCTTGTTTGGGATTCTCTGTGCTTCCTGGCCTACCAAGTCTATTTTCTTCACCTACTTAGGGAAATTTTCCTTCATTATTTTTTCAGATATATTTCCAGATTCTTGCTGTTTCTCTTCTCCTTCTGGCAGCCCTATGTTGAAAATGTTGGAACCCTTGACGTTGTCTCAGAGGCTGCTTACACTGTCCTTGTTTTGTTTTTGCATTCTTTTTTCATTTTGTGTTCTGATTGGTTGGTTTTTGCTTTCTTATGTTCCAAATCATTGATTTGATTATCAGTTTCATCCACTCTACTGTTGTTTTTCCTGCAAATTGTTTTTTTTTTTAATTAGTGTATTCTTCGTTTCCAACTGGATCTTTTTTATGCTATTGACACCCTCAGTAAGTCCCTTGAGCATCCTTAAGTGAATCCCTTCAGTGTTTTGATCTGCATCTGATAGATTGCTTATCTCCATTTTGTTTAGTTCTTTTTCTGGAGAGTTGATCTATTCTTTCACTTGGGCCTTGTTCCTTTGTATCCTCCTTTCAGCAGCCTGCCTGTGTTTGTTTCTATGTATTAGGTAGAGCTGCTATGACTCCCTGGCTTGGTAGCATGACCTAAAGTAGTAGGTGTCCTGTAGGGCCCAGTAGTGCAGCCCACCATATCACCCAATCTGTGTACTAGAGCTGCACCCTCTATGTGGACTGAGTACACCCTCCTCATATAGTTGAGCCTTGATGGCAGTTGGCAGATCAATGGGAGGAATTTACCCAGACCAGTCAGCTGCAAGCACCAGCTATAACCACTGACCACCAACCTCTGCCCTCTGTGGAGGATCGGCTGTGCAGGGACCGGATGGTGGTACTGTGATGTGACCTGTAGCTGTCCATGTGTGTGCAGGCTCTGGGGTTTCCTGGGTGGTGCAGGCCAAGGTTAGCCTACACATGTGTTTTACCTGGGACCACCCTGCATGAGCTATAAATCAGTTTGAAATAGTTGCTACTTGTGCTGGGCTTGGTGGTTTCCAGGCAAAGCCATACTGTAAATATGCTGGCTCTGCTGCTAGTGCTGGCGTGGGTCCACTTAGCAAGAGGTACAGGGTCCGGGGGTTCATTGAGGCCAGCTGTTGCTTGTTTGAGAGAATTTAGGGAGTTGTGAAGCATGAGCCAAGACCAGCCATTCATATGGAAAAGTCATTGTTAACAGCTTGGGTGGGCCCATAAGTTGGGTGGGACAGAGTTTCAGGGGGTCTCCAGGGTGGGATAAACAGTGTTAGGCAGGTTGATAGAGTGTAAGATAAGGGAACTGCCCGCTGGTTCTGTGGCTCTGGAGGAGTGCTCAGTGAAGGGACAGTGGTTTCTGCCCTTCTGTCTGGGAGCATCCCCCAGCTCCCACCTTAAAGCCAAACACTTCATTTCCTTCCTGTGTGCCAGTGGTGCCTTTCACACTGCTATCCCAGTGCTGGAACTAAGAGGCAGTGAGTCTGAGTAAGTCCATGTGTGGGTTCTTTAAGAGGAACTGCTTGGGACTCCAGAAGTTTCTTCACTGACTCAATCCCCACTGGTTTTTGCAGCCAGAAGTTATAGGGACTTATCTTCTTGCACTGGAATCCTGGGCTGGGGGAGCCTGGTGTGGGGCTGGGACTCCTCACTCCTGGGATATCCCTCCTGAATTTTTATCCACCACATGTGATTGTGGGAGCAGCCAATTTTGCATGTGCGCCCCTCCTACCAGTCTCGATGGATGTGGTTTCTTCAATTCTATAGTTGTCAGACTTCCATTCAATTTGATTTCTGACAGTTCTGAGTAATGGTGGTTCTATAATTTAGTTGTAATTTTCATGTGGTTGTGTGAGGAGGCGAGCCGTGTTTACCTCTGCTGTGACCTTGACTGGAGTCTATACTTGAAGTTCTCTAAGAGGGTAGATCTTAAGTGTTTTCATCACAAAAAAAAAAAAAAAAAAAATGTGCGAGAGGATGTATATGTTAATTAGCTTGAGTGTAGTGATTATTTCACATTGTATACATACATCAAATCATAATGTTGTACAGTTATACCCCAATAAAAACTGGGGGAATAAACAATTGGGTCATGTTTTTTTGTGCTTAAATTCCTGAATAATTCTTACTGAGAATCTGAAGATAATTAGCCGTTAGCAATTTAGAGAGAGGTTCCACAGAAAGTTCTTAAAATTAGCTGTGATAAATATATTATCACTTCTTTCATAGAAAATTAAACAACTTTTCTTCAGTGTATCTTTTTGAGAATTATTACCTTAAAGAGAGAATGTTAAATTTGACTAATACCTATGTTACATAGCTCATACAGAATGATCACATTTTTATATTACTTCAGTAATGTTAGCGTTGGTTAGAATTTTAATTAAAGTTACGTGGTATTTACCACATCCTTTTACCATAAATTTTCATTGATTTTGCACTATAACAGTAACTGTTGAATAATTTACCTATTTTTAAGCTTGGCCAAGTGAGAAAAATATCCTAATTCTCCATATTAACATCAGTTGGGTTATCTTTGAGTGGGTCTTGAATTCTCTAGGTATATTTTGCTTGTTCTAAGGTAAGTTATACAATTCTTTGATGGTAACCAATGCTTAAGCACAAAGGGTATTCATCATATTGATATAAACAACTCATGGAATGGATGGAAGGACTGCAAAAGTAGGTCTGGAAGGAGTTAGGTTGAGCTATTTCAGAGAGTTGGGAAGTAGGAACTTCAGGATGGATCACTTTGCTGCTATATTTTAGTCAGGGCTTCACTACTAGAATGAATAAACTGTTTGTTCATTACTCTCATAAATGGACTCTAGTCAAGATTCAAAACTCAGGGTTGGGATTTCCAACCTAACTTTCGTTTGCAACCTAATTCGTTTGCTTGCCCTCTGCTGCCTGGAGTGGTAAAAAGAAGGGCCTTACCTGAGGACCCTCCAGGAGCTTTTCCTTTTCATAGTGGCGGGGCAAGTCTCCACATTCCTCACAGAGGGTGGGAAACGGATGTGGTGTGGATGAAAACGGTGCCTGTTCAATACACCAAAACCTCTTATCTCCTTTATCAGAGAATCAGGCAGCTTCCCATAGGAAAGAGTAGCATTTGGATTTCTTTGCACAAAGGTCTACAGACAAATACCTAAATTTGTCATTAGGCAGAACTTCTCCATGGGCAAGTTAGTGTGTAAAAACTTTTGTGAAACTTCAGTTTCTGTTTCTATTTTATGTGGTATAAAACTTTTTGCTTTCCAGAAAGAATATATTATAAATTGGCAGTTGTTCAATTGCTCATCATTAACCAAGTTCTACCCATGTCATTTGCTCCCATATGCACATTTGTCTGTCTTGCATTCTGCTCTGAATATATCCTCCAGGAATATTCAGTTTTTCCATCAGAAAATGGCCAGTTACAACGTTGGATTTGGATTTTCCAGTGACATTCACTAGAGACTCTAGAAAGAGGGAATATGTGAAAGAAAAATATATTAAAAGAACCCAAAATAATAGTAGTTTATTAAAGTAGATTCTCTGGCCAGTGAGCCCCATTTCTGCTTTATATAATTTTTCTGTTAATTTTAAAATTTTTCTAATCTTTACTCTTTTCATAGAAAGCAGTGTTAAAGTACTTTAATAGTCCTTTTAAACATTTTCATTTCTTTTCAAGTAAAATGAAATTGTTGCATGTACCTTAAAAGAATATCTTAACGAGATAATTCTCACTGACTTCTACTTATTTAATTTGTAGTATTCCATTCAGAGAGAGAAGCTAGTGTTTTACATCAGGTAATATTTCTTTGTGGACATAGTGGAGCAAAAGTTTTTAAATGCACACAGATATTCTCATGTAGCCTGTTAGAGACATATTAAGTGGGGTTATTTCACTAGAATCATGTTGTGCAGGCTGATTTTCTCACTACAGGATTGTCTTGCTACCACATCACTGATTCTGCCACCCACAACAGGGCTCTCATTGTCGCTGAAAACAGTGGCAAGCACATACTACTTCCTGCTTCTCAGTGGCTGGCTCACCACCTTGGTACACTAACATCAGAGACGCCTGTTGGAGAATGCAGGTGGCCTGGCTGATATTTTAAGGTCTTTTGGAGGTAGAATACGACCTTTGCAAACCAAATTATGCTTTTAAATTATCTTTAACTACCAGTTCAAATGTTGAATTAGTCTTGTGCCAATGATCAGGTGGTTTGTGAAGTTGAAATTTAGGCAAAAGCTAGTTCTTTTGCAAGTTCTTATTAACAAGTAACAGTTCTACAAATACGAAAGGAAGCCATGGGTTGTTACAATGCCTGTATTCTTTAACTGAAATATTTCCAGTGAAATATGTTCAATGCAGTTGTCATTGATTTAATTATTTGCATGAAGATTTATAGGTAGTCACTTCCATCAAAAACAATTCTGGGAACCTCATTAATTCTTTATTTTATGTTGTCCTGCATTCATTTTATTTTTAATTCAATTTAATGTTTTTGTTTACTGAGTTAAATTACTTTCACAGATTGTGAATTTTGAAGCTAGAAAATCATATGTACTTAATCTTTACTGTCCTTCATATCTTAACTGGCATTTGATAATCTGTAACTTTAAAGATAATCACCATTGGTTTCTAGTTAAGATGTAAGATGCAGCTTGAGTCCTTCAGTGTTCTAGTAATATCTCCGTGGAAAAGATAAGAAGTCTAAATTTCACGAGTGATTTGTTGTAGCCAGCAAAAAGAAAAAGAAAAAGAAAGAAAGAAAAAGAAAAACCACATATTGCAGGAAACAAAACAGTCATAGCCCCATCTAACCTTCCTGTAGTTTTGTTCACGGTCTGTCAACATACCATTTTAAAAGACGAATTTTGGGGCCCAAATTGATACCATTAGGTTCCTCTGCCATTGCAGAACAATGAAGACAAAAGCACTCACCATCTTAATGTTCACAGGACTGTGCTAAAGAATAATGATTTAAGATCACGACAAGAGTTAACTGCCCACCTCACCAACCAGTGGCCTTCCCCAGGAGCTCTGGATGTCAATGCTGTTGCCTTGGATACGTTGCTTTACCGAAAACACAATAAACAGTGGTATGAGTAAGTGTAATACTTTTTTTCCAACTAATTACAGATTTAGTTGTGCCAAAAGATGGCTATACACTTTGGTTTCTCAGTTATTATTCTTTCTGAATTCATTATTAGCTTAGAGCAAAAGTGGGATTTAAGACTACTTTGGCTTGGCAAGGTTTGGTTAAGGTAGTGAACTTGTTAATGTTTTGAAACCAAGGCAGCCTGGGGAAGTAAAATGATCTGAGAAATTATTGCACAATATTGTACCAGTTACCTACTTCTGTTCATTTCCAGCCAGTCCCTCAGTTAAGTCTATTAGCTCCTATGTAATGAATCATCTATTTCTGAATTCTGGCTTTGGTGTTTGTATTTGCCTTAGGATTAATTTTCCTGCTAGTTAGAAAACACAAAATTCCATCTCATGAAAACTACAAAGATATATACTTGTTCTTGTGGGTCTGATAGAGTTCTGTTCATTTTCAATAAATCTCATTTTGGGAGGCTCTACAGAAGACCGAGTCACTCCACCTGTGGGCCATAAGGTCCTTTTCTGTTTCTTGGTCCCAGTGTTCAAGGCTGTGTTAGTCAGTCACAGTTTCCTGATGTGGAGAGAGTGGCAAAATCTTAGGTTGTCTTTCTTTAGCAGTCTTCATTTTGGAACTTGTAAATTGTTACATTCTTTAGCCACTTTCCCATCTTGATAAATTTTTTTCAATATCTTTCTTTTCCTGTCTCCAGCTAATTTTCAAATTATTCTCCCTGCTGTCCTTCCATCCCCTTCTGGTGTCTCTCTTCCCTTCCCTCTCTCCCTTTTCTTCCTCCTTCTTTTCCCCTTCTTTCTTCTATTCCAGCGATTTTTCAACCTTTTTCATCTCATGGCACACATAAACTGATTCCTAAAACTGTGGCACACCGAAAAGTATATTGTATTTTTTGCTAATCTGATAAAAATAGGTATAATTTTGATTCATTCACACTGGACAACTATTGTTATGTTGGCTGTTGTCATTATTTTATTTGACAATCTAAGGGAAAAGAGGTCAAGTGTTCTTGACTAAATAGGTATTGCATGTTTTTAAAAATTCTTACGGCACTCTGGTTGAGAATCACTGCTCTATTTTATCCGCCCCCTGCCTCCTTGTAGAGCCCTTGTTTTATAAGTTTCACTGGCAGAGCCACATGCTTCTTTCTGTGATCCTTAGAGTGCCTTTCTCCAGGTAATCAGGGGACAGACATTTCTACAAGGAGTGTTTTAGCACGAACACAATTTCCACCTACTTTACTTAGTGATTTTTTTCCATTTTATCAAAAATAGAACTCAAAATAAATTTGACCTTTTCTTGTTAAAGATTGATTACTAGAGACAAGCAGGAAAAAGTGAGCAGAATATTTTTAGAATAAATCAGTAGAACTCTTTTCAGCGTCTACTAAACCATGCTGCTTAGTATGATTCAAGGTGTCAGCTGAGTCTTTCATGGATTGAGACCAACCTATGTCAAAAAGGTTCTCTTTTTTACCCTTATGAATGTTATAACTAGAATATACCTTACACTGCTGGTACATAATTTTATCATTCAGTAGCATATTTAATTAATGGAAGACCATAATGGAAGAATGAATATTTGTTTATTGTATATCAAATTTATGAATGAAAAATTGAATTTATATAGCAATACTTGGTACATTTATCTTGTCTATATATGAGATGCTCCTGCTTTTTTAACTGCAAAAATCTTACAGCATTAAAGCCTGACAAGTTAGAAGACTAAAAATTGTGTCATTTTATTGCAGTATTCATATTGTCACTTTAGATGGAGGTAAATATTTTAGCCAAAATACATGTATGTACCCCTGCGTGCCTGCATAGCTGCCTATTGAGGAACAAATGAGGAACCTAAGTGGATTATTTATTTGTAGTTTTACTTTTGCATGTAATATTAGTGGCTGGTTTTTACAAAGTACTATAATGGCAACAAAAGTAATTTCAGTCTCAGTGAAACTGCCTGTTCACCTGTTTAGCACGGATCTACATTTTATAGGTACTCCATTAGTTTAAGAAGGGACACCCTTTCCTTCCCAGCATCATCCCTTAATCTGACCTGACGGCAAATGTTGGTATTGCATTTAGATTGCTCTATTGCCAAACCGATATCCCTGAACAAAAAGGATGCAGCTAGGGTATAGTTGTGAGATCACTGGACCTAAAGGTTAAGTCAGGACGTAAAAGTAGCCTCTCCTACTTATTTGATGTGTAACACTAAGCAACACTTCCCCTTCTTACCTTTTGTTTCTGCACATGCAATACTAGGAATAATGTACATTGAAATGGAATTATACATATGTAGTCATAAATTGCCTGGCATTTAATAGCTTCCTAGTACATCTTTAGTTATTTATATGTTATCTTTTTTTTGTTGTTTATACTCTCATATAGCCTTGTATCTTTCATGTTTGGATACACTATACACTCACCCAACATCCCAAGCTCTACTTTCTTAGAGTTTGTAAAACCTCATGCAAAATTAAAATGACTAGCAAATCCCCAATTGTTCTGAATAAATAATTCCAAATTTTTCATGTAAAAATAGAGACTTTAGATTTTTAGAACAGAGTACTACTCTCTAAATCATGTTTGAAACAAATCATAGATTTTCATCAGGATCCAGTTTTTGCACTCCTCAAATTTATAAAATAAGCCGAAGTTCTCGAACTAACTTGATCACAGTTCCTCTTAATTTGACCAATATTTTATGTTTAACAAACATTTATTGAGAACCTACAAATTATGGAGGAGGTAGCCAAAACAACTTTAATAAGAAACCTTTGCTGTCTTGATAATTTAGTGAAAGAAACTAACCATATAATGAATCATTATATTATATTATAATTTTCTGCTAAAAATATGGGATGTCTACAATTATTTGTTTAGGAGCGCTGTAACTTTATTAGCCCAGTTAGCTTTGAGAAGAAAGACAGCATGATGTTTGATTTAATGAATTTTGCAGACTTGTCAACATTTCTCTTTTAAAATAACTTATTTTAAAGTCGACATACAATATTATATTTGTTTCAGGTGTCCAACAGAACCATTAAACATTTACATAATTTATGAAGTAATCCCCCTGATAAGTCTAGTTACCTACCTGAAACCATGTACAGTTCTTATAATATTATTGCCTATATTCCCTATACTGTACTTTACATCCCCATTTGTACTTCTTATTCCCTTCACTTTTTTCACCCATTCTCCCAGCCTCCTCCTATCTGTCAACCATCAGTTTGTTCTCTGTATCTATGAGTTTGTTTCTTTTGTTTGTTCATTTATTTTGTCTCTGTTTTGGATTTCACATGTAATTGAATCATATGGCATCTGTCTTCCCTGTCTGACTTATTTCACCAGCATGGTACCCTCTAGGTCCACCCACGCTGTCACAAATGGCAAGATTTTGTTCTTTTTTGTGGATTAGTAATATTCCATTATATATACGGGGTGGGCAAAAGTAGGTTTGCAGTTGTTCATATGGGAAATAATACAATAACTAAAAATAATAGAAGAACAAACTTCGTGTTTTACATTCTCACAACTGTAAGCCTACTGTTGCACACCATGTATGCACCACATCTTTTTCCATTTGTCTGTTTCTTAAAATGAGCCATTGGTTAACTTGGCTATGCTGTCACCTATTCATGGAAGGATCCCTGTCACAGTAGATTGTAAATTTAATTCCATTTACTATACTTTTTATGAAACTTTAAAAATATCATTTCCAGTTTATTTCTTGATTATTTAGACCTAGGTAGTTATGCTGGATTTTTTATCTTTTATTTCAAACATAGAATATCATGTTAAAAAATTTGAAAGCATTTTAGGCTTACTGTAAAAATCCAACAATAAAGTACATTCCCTTAACACACATGTAAAGCAATTGATTACTTTTGTTTGTTCCTAGTAAGTTCTAGTAAAGTTCCTAGTAAAATTTTAATATTTTTCTTTATCCCTAGCTGATGTGGCTCAGAGGATTGAGCACCAGCCTGCAAACTGAAAGGTTGCTGGTTCCATCCATTCCTGGTTGGCGCCCATGCCTGTGTTGCAGGCCAGCGTGTGAGAGGCAACCAATCAGTCGAGGTTTCTCTCACACATCAACGTTTCTCTTCCTCTGTTTCTCCCTTCCTTTCCCTCTCTCTAAAAATAAATAAATAAAATCTTAAAAATATTTATTTTCTTTGTATGTAAAGTCTAGGCCACATGAGCTTGCTAGATACTGGTTATATAATCTTGTTAGGTTATTGTCTGAACCACTTATTTTCATCCCAAATGATCAAATTCTTTGTCATCATATTTGTATTTTTCTGCTTAAGCTGTTTTAGCCTTCACAATGTATTGCTTCCCAATTTGGCTATTGTTCACAAAATTATTGAGAATTACAATCTACATAAATTTTTCTTAATGATCTCTGATGAAAATATAATCACTTCAGATGTATTAGACACTCGCCTTTCCATGTGTGCCTTTCTAATATTTTTGAAGTAGGAGCCTCTAAAGCACTGAGACTGCAGACATCTTTTACAGTCTGTAAGTTCTGCATTAACCTGACTCACATGCACCCTCTCCTTGAGGCTCCCTTGCACCCTCCCACTGATTTCAGTAGATTAAAACTATTTGGATATTCTGCTATAGGAGATCCTTATTTCGTTCCTTAAATGTATTTCTATGAAAATCAAACCAAGAATAAAAAAGAATAGTGTATTTCTGTTTTCATCCACATTCATGTGCTTCAGTGTATAAAGTGTGTGTGTGTGCGCGTGTGTGTGTACGTGTACGTGTGTGTGGTAGACAGTGTCTCCTGTGCATCACACTCTCTGCTGCCCAGTGACTACCAGGTAATGTAAATTGTGATTGACCTCAGTACACATATTGGACAAATAAGTGGTGTAGATTACCCATATCATTACTTCTGATCACTGGCATAAAGAGTAAGATTGAAGAAAAGTTTACTAGTAAGTAAATTAAGGCCTGTTGCTCAATTTTCTTTTTTAATTTGCCTTTATTAGGTACCCAATTTTTTATACTGAAGTTTATATTTGAGTGATTTTAAAAAGTTTAACTAGTTATATATTGAAGGCAGTAGATTTTATTTTGTCCCAAATGCTCATGACATATAATTCTTTCAAATTTAATTTAAATTATATTTAACAATGTAATGGCATAGATTAAACTATCAACTTTTATGTAGTCAGAATGCATGACTTACTCAGGTTCTTATTTTGGTTAAGTAAGCTATTATTATTTTTAAGATTCTACTCTGAGAAATAGGAATAGATGGTTAATTGGCTTGATGTGTCTTGTGGGTTACCTTTAAATCTTAGTGTGATGTCAATAAGCCTAGAATTCTAACGTAGGATACAGTGGTAACCTTTTAAAGACAATACTCTCATAAACATAGTCTTACCCCATGACCAAAACAGGTGTGTCAGATGGAGCTGCCAGTCGCGTTGGAGAGTGGGTTACAATGTGGAAACCCAACCCATCCTTTGTCATCAGTGAAAGAAGCTGAACTAGCCTTTTCCCAGATGGTGGCTCTGTAGTCAATTCCATGCAAGGAAGATGTTGGGTGGTTCTGTTCTTAACACTTGAAGAATAAGGTGCTTCATTTCTGCTTGGAGTTTTTACTATTACTGCAGCACATGATTGTCTAGCAAATCTCGTTCCTATATTCCTTGGCATTTGGTTAAGTAAAGCCTGTAACTCAAGGATTGTTCATGAAATGTGACAAATTAAAGGGCAGGAAGCTCCCCAGATCCCTTTAGATTTGGAAGTGTGACGTCTCAAAAGCATGTCAGTAGGTCGCGCAGAGGCTCGTTTGGTGTCGACGTAGCAGAGGCCGCCTCACGGGTTTCCTCTCTCGCGTGGGTGACAGTCTTTACGACTGCTCTAAATGTGCGTTCGCAAGCTCTCAGTCTTCACAATATTCAAATGAATTCTACATCCTTTTTGCTTCTGGGTTTTTTTATTTATAAGTATTTCTATATATAAATTTTAAAATTTAATAACATTAGCAAGCTTCCTGTGATGAAAAATTAGTATCAGAAACTCATCTTAACCTGTTCAGTTTTAAAAGAAAGCCTTCTACCTATTAGGCACAGATAAATAATTTGAAACTTATTTATAACTTGCTTTATTAAATCCCTGTGTTCCTGCTTTCCTCCATAGCTAATAAGATTTTAATGGAAACCAAGTGAAATTTTTAGTGATTAGATTTAAATACAGTATAATTTACATTAGGGGTCCCCAACCTCTGGGCCACAGATGGGGTACTGGTCCAGGTGCGCTAGGAACCGGGCTGCACAGCAGGAGGTGAGCGAGAATGTAAGGCGCTTCCGGCATCCTGAAACCCTGCTCCCCTAACCCTCTCTCCCACCCCTCCACCTGCGGGAAAATTGTCTTCCATGAAACCAGTCCCTGATGCCAAAAAGGTTGGGGACTGCTTGCATGTATGGTCTATCTCAGCAAAGAAGGCTGTTTTTTATGAATAGATTCTAACGAAATAGGAAGCCAAATCTTTTCTTCCCTATACCAGAAATGAGATAGCATAGTAGTTAAGGACAGACTTGGACCCAGGCCACCTGGTTCAAATCTAACCTCTTTGTACCCTAATTTCCTCTGTTATAAAGTAGGGATAGTAATAATTCTAACCTTCTAGTGTAGTTGTGAGGATTAAATAATATGTAAAAACTATGTAGAACAGTGCCTAGCATTTGTTAAGCACTGTATCAACGTTGGGTATTGTTTTTTGAAATTACATGCTGTATACTGATATACTTGTTATCTATTATAATTATCCAAAGTTTTCTACCCTAGAACTGCCCATTACTTAAAAATATAATTAAGAACTTTTTTCCTTTACTTTTATTGTTTACATTATTACAGATGTTCCCATTATCCCCCCCCCCCCTTGCCCACCTCCTCCCTGCCCCAGCCCCCCCCCTTCTCTCTGGCCATCACCACACTGTTGTCTGTGTCTATGGGTCATGCATATGTGTTCTCTGGCTGATCCCTTCACCTTCTTTCATCCAGTTCCCCTTGACCTTCTCCCCTCTAACATCTGTCAGTCTGTTCTATGTATCTATACTTCTATTTCTATTTTGTTCATCAGTTTAGTTTACATCATCAACATTTGAAAAGCCATCATGTTACAAAGTGAAAATTCTATTGGCATTGTGAGCTAGAAGTTTTCCATCAGCTCATTCTTCAGCTCATTTCCTCAAGGAAAAAACAATAGACACCTACTGTATATGTCCCCCCCATACTTAATATACATACATTTGATAAATCTGTAAGTCTACTCTTGTGAATGCAAATGATGACTATGTAATAGATCATTTAAATCTTATGTTCATTCCTATAGCATCATAGAATATATGACATTTCAGGGAAATTAGATAAGGTTTGAGTATCTTGGGAAGTAGATGTTGAACCTAAAAAACATGTTCATTTTTCTGGATTATCTATATTTGGAAATAATATTGAATTCTGTTCTCTTACTGGAAATGTCAGTAACATCAAGGCCGCATGCATCTTTGAGTTGGCTTAATCCGACAAAACAAATATGAGTACAGTTCCCTGTCTCCATCCTGTTAAACTTCCCAGCAGTTTTTGATGTAACTGACCACTTCTTTATTTTTGAGTCACTTTTGGTACCTTGTTACTGAGTATTCTGAAGTTACATAATAAACCTTCATTAACTTTCTGTTTATAACTGAGTTTTTCCTTTATTATTATTTTCTGATTTATTTGTTTAATAGAAAATGAGCTCACAATTGCAAATAGACAAGGGAAGGAGGTTAATGATATTGATGGTGTATTAGTACACAAGTATATTATTACCCAACATTTTTAAACTTCTAAATTATAGGAATTTATAATAACTTATTATTATATAATGATCACCAATAAAAATATTGAGGCACTGAAGAATTCTGAAATGCCTCGGAGGTACTAGATTATTATTAAGTTATGTCAATTTTGTTTCTACATCAAGAGTAATCTCTAGATTTTTCTGCTCCTTTGACAACTGATAATATCCCGAAGTTCCTATTTCTTAACCAGCTGGATAATAAAATATTGGTGGGACTTAAATTTGTTCAAAAAATTATTTTCCATATTTCAGTGGATTAAACAGACCACCAGAAAGGGTGGGGGGCAAAGTATAATAGAGATCATAGTGCAGTCATGATAAAGGCAAAGTTTAAGGAAAAAATAACCAGAAATTCAATAAATTGAAGAAAACCAGTAAAGAATATCTCTAGAAGTTATTTTTGTGCAAATTAATTCAAGTAGCATTTTACCCTTGTTTTACAGAAAAAGTTATCAAAGTCTTGACCAGTTATCAGCTGAAGTCAGCCTTTCTCAGACTTCACTGGATCCAGGTCGGTCACAAGAAGGAGATGGGAAACAAGACCCGTTAAATTCAATCAGTGAAGGTAAGGGGAAGAGACCAGTTTGAGAATCACTCTTTCCTACACTATCTATGCTTTGGTTGCAGAGGATTACTGAAGAATAATAATGATATTTCTGTGAAGTATGCTAAGAATTAAGCTGCCATTATGATTAAAAACGGTCTGCTTTTGTTTTTTCCTCATGTGTTTGTGGCTAAACTTCTTGAAAGATTATAATTTTTACCTTGATTTCCTCACTTCCTGTGTACTCTTTCTACCCACTCCAGTTTGGCTTTTGTGTCTCTACCACTTACTGAAATGATTTTTCAAGCTGATTAGCCAGTGCCGTATTGCCAAAGTCAGTTCTCTGTCTTCAGCCTATTAAACTTTTCAGCAGCTTTCAGTATAGCTGACCATGCCTTCATTTTTGAGTCACTTTGGTTCCTTGTTTACCAAGTATTCTGAAAAAACTTGGGGAATAAACATAAAGGAGTTTTATTTTTTCCTCTTACCACTTTCAGCTGTGTTGTATCTCCCCTCTTTCCATTGGGCTGCGGCTTCCTGAACACATCTTGGTGCAATTCCATTAACTCTTCAGGGCGCTTTGAATGATCACATCTTAGTTTCTAAGACTCAACCTATTTGTTTTTAAACTTCAATAGCTTAGTTGGTTCAAAGTTCTTTTCTTTCCTACCCCTAGCATAGGCTACAACTGTGAATGTAGATAGCCCTTGGCGTTGGACAAGTGGCGCTGGAATACAGTGCTCACATCTTTTCTCTCCCCTTCTTCCCAGTTCTATATATGCTGCTGTGTGTGGAGCCAGGGAATGAGTTTCTTCCCTCAGGGCAGCCTGCATCCCTTTATGCCTCCAGTTTCTTCTCTGTCTTCTCATTGCAGTAAATGCACCACCATAGGCATTATCCTGGATTCCACCCTTGCCCCTTACATCTGCAAGGCAGTTTACTAGCAAGTCCTGGCAGCTCCCCGTACAACGCGTCCTTTGGATGTTGACGCACCTTCTCTGTTATTGCAACCCTAGTCTGTGGCACTTGGAGCAAGCCTCTTGGATGGACTGCTGCCACAGCTTGTTCAATGCCTTTCATCTCTCATTCTTGCCCCCTCATAGTCCACCCTGCATACAGGAATCAGTGATCTTCGAATACATTATATCCCCACTTAAAATTATCCAGTGGCTCTTAATGGCAATCAGAATAAAATTCAGACTGCTTATCAGGGCATAACTGTGGATAGAAAATCGTGAGAAGTTGTTATTTTTTTCAAGAAACATTTATTAAGCCCCTCATATGTGACAGGTACTATGTTAGTAACAACTAGCAGTTACCACATTTCATCAAATCTGAGATGCTTTGGGTTTTTAGATACTCCGTTATTTTATGTCCCAGCACAAATGAAATGAAAAATGCCAGCAATTAACTATGTTTCCATATCTTAGCATTGTTAATATTTATTTTAAAAGATCTTTTAGTCTTTTTAAAAAACTTTTATTATAAATCATGTAACTTAAAAGTCACCATTTTAAAGTGTACAATTCAGTGGTGTTTATTATACCTCACATGCTCCTTAACAACGGGGATATGTTCTTAGAAATGTGTCCTCAGGTGATTGTGCCATTGTGAAAACATCACAGAGTGCACTTACGCAAACCTCGATTGTATAGCCTCCCACACGCCCGGCTGTATGGTAGAGCTATTGCCCCTAGGCTACAAGCCTGCACAGCATGTTACTGTAGAAAACAACATGAGGTTAAATCAAGCACAAAAGAAAACAGTACAAACAAGATGCAGTAAACAGATATGTGAGGCTGCTGGTATGACACCACATGTGATTTTACAGCACTTTTTTAGAAGCAGAAAGGGTATATTCTGGAATAATGATAAAAAGTATATTCAACATACAAGCCAGCACATTAGCCAATTATTATCATTATCAAGTATTACATACTGTACATAATTGTATGTGCGATCCTTTTGTACAACTAGCACTGCCGTGGGTTGACACCATGTCACCACACACACAAGTAGTGCTTTGCGCTAACACATTTTGATGGCTACAACATCACCAGGCAATAGGAATTCTTTTTTCTTTTCAGTTCCATTATTATCTTAGGGGACCAGTATTTTCTGTTAACTGTAACGCCCTTAGGTGATGTATGACCATCATGAGAATGACCACAAATTCCAGAGCATTGCCATCACCCAGCAAAGAAGCCCTGAACATATTAAGTCAATCCCAATTCCTCTCTGCCCAGCTCTTGGCAACTACTATCTACTTTCTGTCTTTTTGGATTTGTCTGTTTTAGACATTTTTATAATGAAATCCTATGATATGTTGCCTCATTGTCTGGCTTGACTTAGCATAATGTTTTCACAATTCAGCTGTATTGCAGCATGTATCAGTTCTTCATTCCCTTTTATGCCCAAAAAATATTCCTTTGTATGAATATATCGCAATTTGTTTATCCATTTATTAGCTGGATGTTTGGATTTTTTCCACTTTGGCACTATTATGAACGCTGCTGCTATGAACATTCATTACAAGTTTTCATGTGAACATATATATTTTTTTCTCTTGGGTATATAACTACGAATGGAATTGGCTGGATCACATGTTTAACCATTTGAGAAGCTGACAAGCCATTTTTCAAAGTAACTTACCATTTTACAATCCCACCAGCAATGTGTAAGGGTTTCAGTTTCTCCACACCCTCACCGATACTTGTTATCTTTATTGTAGCCGTCTGAGTGGATGTAAAGTGCAATTTCATGGTTTTGATCTGCATTGCCCTAATGAGCAGTACTGTTGAGCATCTTTTCATGTGCATATTGACCATTTTTATGTCCTCTTCAGAGAAATGTCTGTTGAAATCTTTATACCATTTAAAAATTGCATTTTTCACCTTTTTATGGTTGAGTTGTAGTTCTTTTAAATTTTCTTAAAAATACATTTTATTGATTATGCTCTTATAGTTGCCCCTTTTTTTGTCTCCCTTTTATTCCCCTCCTCCTTGTCTCCCCCCCATCTTAGTTCATGTCCATGGGTTGTACATATAAGTTCTTTGGCTTCTCCATTTCCTATAATATTCTTAACCTGTCCCTGTCTATTTTGTGCCTACCAATTATGTTTCTTACTCCCTGTACCTTTCCCCCCATTCTCCCTCCTCCTCCCCACTGACAGCCCTCCATGTGATCTCCATTTCTGTGATTCTGTTCCTATTCTACTTGTTTGATTAGTTTGTTTTTGTTTTTGTTTTTTAGTTTCAATTGTTGACAGCTGTGAATTTATTGTCATTTCACTGCTTGTATTTTTTATCTCTTTCTTAGATAGGTTCCTTTAAAACATTTTATATAGTAAGGGCTTGGTTATGATGAACTCCTCTAACTTTAACATACCTGGGCAGCACTTTATCTGCCCTTCCATTCTAAATGATAGCTTTGCTGGATAGAGTGATCTTAAATTTAGGTACTTTCATGACTTTGAATACTTCTTTTCAGCCCCTTCTTGCCTGTAAGGTTTCTTTTGAGAAATCAGATGATAGTCTGATGGGGGGAACTCCTTTGTAGGTAACTGTCTCCTTTTCTCTTGTTGCTTTTAAGATTCTCTCCTTAATTTTAATCTTGGGTAATGTAATTATGATATGTCTTGGTGTCTTTCTCCTTGGATAGAACTTCTTTGGGACTCTGAGCTTCCTGGACTTGCATATCTAGTTCCTTCACCAGATTGGGGAAGTTTTCTTTCATTGTTTTTTCCAATATGTTTCCCATTTCTTGCTCTTCCTCTTCTCCTTCTGGCATCCCTATGATTCAGATGTTGGAACATTTAAAGTTGTCCCAGAGGTTCCTAAGCCTCTCCTCATTTTTTTGAATTCTTATTTCTTCATTCTGTTCCAGTTGAATGTTTGTTTCTTCATTCTGCTCCAGATCTTTGATTTGAGTCCCAGTTTCCTTCCATGCACTGTTGGTTCCCTGTATATTTTTATTTACTTCACTTTGCATAGCTTTCACTCCTTCCTCTATTTTGCATCTGTACGCAATCATTTCTGTGGGCATCCTGATTACCAGTGTTTTGAACTCTGCATCTGATAGGTCGGCTATCTCCCTGTTGCTTAGTTCTTTTTCTGGAGTTTTGATCTGTTCTTTCATTTGGCCCATAGTTCTTTGTCTTGGGTGCAACTGTTACATTGTAAGGGGTGGTGCCTTAGCTCTTTGCCAGGGGGGCAACCCACTTAACTGCATTGTGTCGCTGTATGTTGGGGAGAGCGTAGAGGGGGATCAATGCCACTTGCTTGGCTCTCTGCCTCCCCCACTTTCAGTCACTTCCCTCTCTTCCCACAAGTGGATTGTGTCCTTTCAGGTGCTGATTCCCAGGTGGGTGGGCTTGTGTACATTCTAGGATCCTGTGGGCCCCTCCAAGAGATTCTTCTGTGAGACGGGGAATTTATCCTGCCACCACACCCCCCCAGATTTTTACAACCAGAGGTTTTTGAGGCTTTAGTTTCCCATGCTGGAACCCTGGGTTGCATGGTCTGCCTCCCTTCCCAGTTGTTCCTCCTGGTTTATCCATATGCAGATGTGTGATATCCTAGTCGAGGAGCTGCATCCCAGTGCTGCCTTGTCACATGTTCTCTCTGCCCCAGCTCCCCCTCTTCACCCTTCCCACTAGCCTGGATCAATGTTTCTTCTGTAATTCCTTGGTTGTCGGATTTCTCTACAGTTAGGTTTTCTGGCAGTTGTGGTTGTTTTTTGTTTTTAAATTGGTTGTTATCCTTACTTTGGTTGTACAAGGAAGTGAAGCATATCTACCTATGTCTCCCTCTTGGAACTCTTTCAGTAGTTCTTCATGTATATTCCGGATAGTAGAATCTTATCAGATTTGTGATTTGCAAATATTTTCTCTCATTTTGAGGAATGTCTTTTTCACTTTCTTGCTAGTGTTGACTCATGGTATTTAATTTTGATAAAGTCCTACTAACCTAGTTAGTCTTTGGGTTGCTTGTGCTTTTGGTACCACATCTAAGAAACCATTGCCTAATCCAAAATCTTGCAGATTTATACCTATGTTTTTCTTTTAAGAGTTTTATAGTTTTAGATTTAGGCCTTTGATCCATTTTCAATTTATTTTTGGTATGTGGTGTGAGCTAAGCAGACAATATCATTCTTTTGCATTTGGATATTGAGTTGACCCCAGGCCATTTGCCCAGAAGATTATTCTTTGCCCCCTCTGAGTGGTCCTAGAGCTCTTGTTGAAATACATTACCCATCCATGTTATGGGTTTATTTCTGCACTATCAGTTATAGTCCCTTGGTCTATATGTCTCTGCCAGTGCCACATTATATTTACTCCAGTGCCACACTGTCTTGATTGCTGTAGCTTTGTACTGAGCTTTGAAATCAGGATGGGTGAGGCCTACGACTGTTCTTTTTAAAAATGTTTTGGGTATTCAGAGTTCTTTTCATTTCCATATGAATTTTAAAATCAACTTGTCTTTTCTGATAAAAATAATGGGTAATTAAGATAGAAAATATTGCCATCTTAACAATATTGTCTTCCAATCCAGGGAAAGATAGGACGTGTTCTCATTTATTTCAAGCTTAAATTTCTGTCCGCAATATTTTGTAGTTGTCAGCATACACCGCTTGCACTTCTTTGGTAAAATTTATTTTTAAGTATTTGATTTTTTGTTGTAAATGAATTTTCTTAATTTTATTTTCTGATTGCTTCTTTTAGACTTTAAGCATGGATTTTAAAATGAATTTTACTCTTCTATATTTATAATAAGGAAAATAAAAGTGAATTCATGAACATGAACTTCTTCATAATCAGAGAATATCTCATCTGAATCTTTGAGTCAAAACTGTCAGTGGCTGTATATTTCCTCACAACATCATCCTCTGTGCCAGCAGTGAGCCAGCTCCTAAAACACTACTGCACTGTTGGAACTGTAGGGATTTCTTTTACATTACCAAGAAATGTCCTGCATATTTTTATGCAGACATTTTCCTATTTGACTAACATAGTTTCATCTCCTTCCTCAGTTAAATCAAATGCTTCTGGACCTTAAATAGCTTCTCTTTAAAGGTCACAGGACTCCCACAACAAATTGATGTTTGACATATAAAGAGAAATACTACATGATGGGTGACTCAATCACACCAATTGCTGATTGCTTCAGAATTCCTTTTTTTCTGTTCTGAGGAATTCTGTCTTCAGTTACAAGCTTGTTATGAGATAAGCAATCCTTTTGCAGATGTCACCAAGCTTCCTCGCCTTGGAAGGCTTTTTGCTTTCTTAGGTTTTTCCCCCCACACGCAGTCTGCCTTGTTTTATAAGAAAGTACACATTGCAATAACTCCTGTAATGAATATTTGCTTCAGTAACATGAAATTTACATCCTACTGTCTTTTCCCGTGCTTTTCTTTGAACAAGCAACTATTATTTTTAAGGACAAATTATACTGTGATATTTTTGAAGGCATTTCAGGCAGCATATAGACAAACACAGGTAACAATTAAGATGATGACAATATGGATACCTGTGACCATGTTCATGCAAGCACATGCAAAACAAGTATGTCACAACTCCCTCTTGGCCAGCTACAACTTCAGCACACATAGGTCCCGGTAGTTTGAAATTTGATTGTACAAAATGGTGACCATCAGGTTTCTTGGCCATTGATCATAAATAGATAACAAAGTTCTCACATGACAGCTTAATATAACATTTTGCCTCTGTTTATGGGTTTGATAGGGGTTAAGAAATTTCTTTCCGCATCCCTTAAAATTAGGATTCATATTTACTGCCTGTTTCCTCCTTGGCCTGTTCTTCCACTCCCCAAACTTCTCCTCCTCATAGAGTTGGTGATCCCGCCATTCACTTACTTGTTCTCAAAGGCTGAGTTACTCATGGCTCCTCCCACCTAACATTTTGCCTTTACCAAGTCCTACAGGTTTAACTTTCTAAAGGTTTTTACATGTATTCGATTCTCCATAATTCTTTCTACTGCTAACCTGGTTCAGGCAACTGCCATAGTCTTCTTTCTGGTTTCCCTACATGCATTTTATTTCCTTCACAATCATGCCCTCAAGTATTTAAAATACAATTTAACTGTGTAATCCCCTAACATAAAAGGCTTCAGTGGATCCCTAGTATATGAATATAACCAAGAATGTAGTCTCTGAATTCAGAATACACAAATGTATTATTACGATTAAATCAAGATGGAGTCCTTATCATGCACTCTAAAATGTCCTGTGGCTTTCACCTATTTCTCTAGTCCAGGAACTTTTCAAGAATTTTTAAAACCAGGGGCACTGACCTCTTTTCCCTTAGATTGTCAAAAAATGACAACAGCCAACACAATAGCTGTCCAGTGTGAATGAACCAAAATTATACCTATTTTTTGTCAGAACAGCAAAAAAAATTTTTGTGTGTGTGTGCCATAGAACTAGTAATTAGTTTAGGTGCGCCATGAGATGAAAAAGGTGAAAATCACTGCTCTAGTCTCATTTCTGGCTTATAGCTCCCTGTACCACTGGTGCTAACCCTTCCCTCTGCGTCTTTGCTCATGCCGGCCCTCGGCAGAGCCTTCTCTGGTCTCTGCCTCCTTGGTTATGCATGTCCACCATGATCCAGTTCGTTGGTCACTTTCTCCCTGAAGCTTCTCTAATTGCCCCTGATCCTTCTGATTTGGTTTGGATACTTTCCTCTGAGCCTCCATAATACCCTTGACTTACTGTTCTCACTACACTTACTGAATTTTATAATTTTCTTTTTGTGTCTGTTTCCATTATATACTAAGTTCCCTATGGGCAAGAAGTGATTTTTAAATTTATCTTTATCATAATGCCAGGCACACAGAGGACAACCAGAGACTTCTAACTTAATGGTATTTGTAGCAGTACCATCTGAAGATTTGTAGAGTCTAGTCTCCATATCAACACATTTAAAACAAAATTTGTTTTTCTTGCTATAAAACAAAAATCAATTTTCTGCTCCTAATGACTGATTTTTTTTCCTGCCAGGAACTACCACTCTGTAATCGGAGCTAGAAATTTTGTTAACCTTACAAGTTCTTCCCCCCATGTCAATAAATTGCTTTTAAAGTATTATGAACTCCAGTTTGTTATTTTTTTATGTGTTTATGTATATACATATATGTATTCGCATTTGTTGCCATAACATTCAAAAACATACAATATTTTCTAAAGTATAAAGTTTTTAATGGTTTTAAGTCCTTATTTGATATCATTCTTCAAGGACAATTAAATATTTATTTTATCCTAATTTTCAGGTAAAGAAGACACTCCCTCATTACTTGGTCTCTGTGGGTCTCTAACATCAGTGGCAAGTTACAAATCTCTAACTAGCCTAAAATCTAATGACTATCTTGCAAGTCCTACAACAGAGATGACAAGTCCAGGCCTAACTCCATCCTGAGAAATTTTATGTAAAAGCCAAAAGATTTTATGTTGCCAATGTTCTATTTACATAAGTTTGACTGCTGGGAAAACCTCTGGAGTTTTATATTGTTGTGGCACATGTCTGGGATCCTGTTGCTCAGAGTTCACTCCACTCCGTGTTAACTGAGTGAAGAAAAAATGATCCTGCCATTTCTCATTTTAAAGTTCTTGTATTTTTCACTGAGGAAGTTTAAAATGAATAGACCTAAAAACAACTTTCAAAGATCCTCTAAATTAATAATCCTTTACAAATTGTACATATTTATTATTCAGTTGATTTTCATATAATTTAACGTATCATAATTGCCAGAGACAGTTCAAGGTTTTATTTGGGACTTCAACTACATATTTTCTTTCCTCTTTTATTCAGTGACTAAAACTTATAAAAATGACTTACTAATTTTACTTTCCATTAATTTCTTCCTAGGTTCTAATGTTAAAAAACCTTGTTTTTAAAATGAGGAGAATTTTCTCAGCTGCAGTTTGACAATGGCTTATTTAGTTTTTCTTTAACAGTTATTATCATTTGGTATCAACGTAACATTCCACTTAACATTTTATAAATTTTGTAGGAATGTGCCTTTAGGCAGTTACTAAATTTGTTAGGGTCATAGGGAAAGTAGTTTACAACATTTTAGGCCATTTAGGTAAAATGAATAAATTTCTTATCTTTGTTTCCCCAAAATTTTCTTAAAAGGTCGTCAATTAAAAAGGATCAAATATACCTCAAAAATTAAACATTAAAGCATAACAGGTGTTGAAAAAGTATTTGATCAGGAAAAAGTTCAAGTTCAATTAGGTATGAGACGCTTTTAAATTAGCATCGGTAGGGTATCACCATACTTCATAATGTCTGGCATACATGCTGTTCTCTATCCCTTGTGTGAACCAATGAATTCTGTCCTGTTAGGTTTTACAGCTCCTATCACTAATCATGCCACAATCTCATTTTAAAGTTGATATTAAAAATCCCTGCACTTCTACAGGTAAAAAGTTTTGTTTTTTTAAAAAGCTATGAGCTGTATTTTAAATGTTTTTGCAATTTTTTGGAACTATCCATTTTGTCCCTAAAAATACCACCATGTTGGAAGAGAAAAATGTATTAAGTATATTTTCTACATTAAGTAATACGAGGAAAACATGGTCAGTTGTGCCAAAGAAGTTTTATACGTTGTTTACATGAAGAGGCTACAATACTTATTTGGGGACTTAATATGTACTATATTTTTGTTTATTAATAAAACATTACATTCAAACTTAGTAGCTTTGACATATAGGAGGAATGTTCTTCCTAAAGCAATTTATTTTTATTGAGGGGAGGCAAGAAGTGCGAACTTATCACATTCATTCTTTGTATTAGAGATGTAGGAGTGTGGTGGTTCTCTACAATCTTTACAGCTTTACTCTCATAATTTGGAATTTAAAATAATAAATAGTAACAGGTTCAGTCTTATATGTAAAGCAGATGAAATAATGTCATTTCAGGGACAGACTTATCTTAGTTGTTCCAGAATTACTCAGAGCTTTATTCTTTTAGCTTAAGGCTTTAGTATTATACTTGTAGAAATGCAAATATTCTTGAGAAAGGGTACCTTTAATTTCTTAATTCTGTATACCTTATTGTTAGTGAGGTATCCAAAGCAACTTTTACACTGCAAGGGGGTTGGAAGGTATAAAATTAGGACAATGGAAATCTTAGGAGTAGGGAGTGAGAAATGGTTAAGGGGGGGAACTTCAAAACTTTTAGGCTGGCCTTAAGCACTTTTGCTGCTTCCCTAAGAACTATCAGAATGTTTAAATGCTTTATCACTCATCCATGGTCCACTCTCAACTTCACACTTTCCTTCAATAATTAACAAACACCATCGTTACATTTTTTCCAGACTTCTTTGTAATACAGAAAGTTAACTCAAGATTCCATAATTGATAAAATTTTTCAGATTTGTCTAACGTATACTGTAACCTGTGCATCTTAACATGCTGCTAAATGCAGATTTAAACATGACACCTGAGGATCATGACTTTCCTCCTTTCTCGGAGCTCTTGGTATAAAATTCATCTGCTACTGCGAATTCAGGTTCATTTCATACTAGTTAGAGATAGTTAATGTGTGCATGAGGAAGCAACTTGTCTCAATCTTTAGTTTTAGGTGGTAGTGTTTATTCACAAACTCTCCCTAAAATGGAATGCTGAATTATATGCTAATTCTATGTGTATTTTGTTGCCTTGATGTATTATACTTGCTGCATGTATATTAAACATTTTGTACTTATGCATTAGTTGTCTTATTTTATCTTTGATGAAGAGTTACTTGATTCAGGTTGCACACTGAACTAACAAATAGGATAAATGTATATTACTTAATGTCTACAATACTAATATGAAAATGGTTTTGGAGAAATCCTGATTTCAACTCATATAAAATTAAATGCATTTTATTTTTTAAAAAACACAACACGCCTTAGAATACACACCAGCTATTAAGGTGGCCCAGTGCAGCAGCGTCTCTGGCAGTGTCACTGACTGGAATATGTCATGGCCAGCGTTTGTTTTCTCACCTGTCCAAGGGAAACATCACCGTCTTCTCAGCACCTGTGCGATGGCATTAGGATGATGTCAGCATTAAGCGAACTCACACGTATACGTCTGTAAGAGGTAAGTGCCAAACGCAAGGTACTAATTATGCTCGACAGAAACCTTAAATCAGTTTCTCAGTCATCTTTATTAGATTTACATACAAGCTTTCAAGTGGTAAAAAAATGTCACACATTTTCAATTTGTGGAGATTCTGTTTAAGTTCCTATCATTAGGTAAAATCTCCAATTTTGATAAACTAATACATTGGGTTACCTCTGAAATGTCACATGACTGCTTTGAAAATCAGGGCTCTTCAGTTTTTTTAGTTAGTTCACTTGGCTCTTCCTTTAAGCAAGCAGCTTCTATGTGGGTTCAGCATTTGTTCTTTTTAATTGATAGGGAGTCAAATTTAAGTGATACAAAGTTATATCAGTGTCATTAAAGTACTTTTTAAAAGCATACTTTAGTCAAAACCAAATTTTTAGAATGTTTTTAAATAGGTCACCTTATTATAAATCACATCTTCCATACTGTCAGTTATTTTTCTAAAACACAACTAAAACAAATTTTCACTACACAACACCGGGCCTTACTACATGACACATACTGGTGTTTTCTCTTCTACGCTGTGATAATGCTGTCCTGTTTTCTTTCATTAAAGATAAATGTTGAAAAGAGACCAAAACCCCAACTCTATAATTATTAGAACTATACCAAAATACTTTCTTTGTTTCCTGTTGCTTTCTTGGTTCTTGTTTGGCACACAAGGCTATGTTCCTAATCTAATCTCCTATGACATTGCCATGTGGTATCTAGTACCCTTCGCTCAAACTGCTGGACTGCCTCCCATTGCCTGCCTGCAGGTACATTTCGTTTGCATCACCGGTCCCAGCCGTAGGTTAAGCGAAGAGTCCCTCAGCCTTCCCCTCACTCCCCTTGCACCCCTCCCTCAGCCACAGTTCTGAAACCCACTTGAGGCCAGTGACAGTTTCTGAACCATCTTATCTCCAGTGTTTTTCCTACTGCCACCACATTAAAAGGCTCAGTAAGTGCTGAGTGACAGAATGCATTTTGGAAAAAAGTTCAAAAGCGATAGACTAAATTTGCCAACATCCCTGGAATTTGTGTCCTAGAAAAAGGGAGGGAAGAATTTAAAGGAGGCATTTATGATTATGCATAGTGAATAATTTTCCCATAAATAAAAGGAAAACTTATTTTTATACCTACTCATTTAAAAAATCAAATATGTATTATATGAAAGGTGACAAACAATGCTGTTATAAGACATTTCTTCTTAAAAGATTTACACATAAAGTAAACATGTTAGAAAATTTATCATTAATAAAAATGAAACTGTTTCCCTTCAGAAACATTACCAAGAACACAATTTGTAGCCAAACTCTTTGTGGTTGCTACTTTTTTTTTAAACAAAAGTTTAAATGCTTTTAAAGTAGAGAAAAAACTGAAGCTTTCTTTCATCCTCCTTTTCATCCAGATAAATTGCACGTATATATGTGTTAGAAAATCTAAGGAATTAGATTTGTTATTTTAGTCATAAATGGCAATAATTTTCCACAAGTGCAATCAGTATTGGGGGGGAGGGACGGGAAAATCCCTTCTGGTATTTATAAGTGATAGTAAGTTGAAACACATGACTGCTTTTTGGAGCACAGTCCTAAATTTCTGCCTTTTTCTACCAATAAGTTTTCAAAAAGAAGCATAGCAAGACCAGGTAAATTTAGTACTGTTAAATACCAGTGTTCAAGTTAAATGGTCACACACACATATTATATAAAAATATTTAGCTGAAGACACAGTGATAATTTTAATGTAAGCAAAATATTTTAATGAAAATATAACAAAATCATAAATATTTTATGTTTTAATGGACATGTATCTTGCAAATTTAAGGTAAATCAACAGGATAAAAACACAAAAGGTTATATACAAATTTTATATAGTTTATTCCTGGTAAAACATTTAAGCTCCTTTCTACTATAATACAAATACATTAATTCCTCTATGAACACAAGAGATTTATCACCTAAATATATTACCTATTTTAGGGGTAAAAATGCTTCACATTTTCATAAAATACACATAGACTTCAATAAAGTGCTTTTTCAAAAAAAAGAGTACCATTTCTTGTCCTACAGTCATAAGCTAAGTTACTTAGGCATTAGCCTGTAGAGACCAAAAGCTATTTCTTCAAAGAAACTGCTGTCTGTTTAGTTTCTTGTTCTAGCATACTAATGTGCGATGCATATCATCAAAGGAAATTTTGGAAATATTCTGTGACTGATACAATATTAATAACATCAAATTTAATACAACAAGCAAATGGAGTGACCTAGAGAACGCCACAAACAGTGATACACGAATCATGATATGGCTGTGCCAAATCATTATTTTTACTAGTCTAAACATGGTGTTTTTCACTATACACCCATGTTTGACTTTGGTGAACTTTTAATGCAATCAGCAAAATCACTCCCCCTTGCAGAAATAATAATCTTTAATGCCTAACTCAGATTATTGCTTCCAGTACTAAGGAATAATTTTTCTTTTCTTTATAAAAAGCTCAATGGCTGTGATTTCTGGAACATCTCTTTCAATATTTCAAAAGCTAGGATAGGAAAACTTATTTTAAAATAAGGATTATGACTTAGAATCAAGGTAGAAATTTCCATTCATTTCAATTACTGGCAGGAAAGATACAAAATCATTATAGTGTGACATAAATGTTCTTGCCTAAGAGTCTCCATCTTATTATTTGGCCATGGTTATTTCACGTTGAAACAGCATCACTAGTATTGCTGTCTTTGAGCGTTTTGTTTCTGGAAAAAAGCCTTTCCAAATTCATATGAACTGATCATAATGGCACAAGCAGGAGCAATTTTAATTAAACGGGGAATTAGGCCTGCAAAGAAAATAGCAAAAAAAAAAAAAAAAAAAAAAATTCAGAACAAATTTTACCTTATTTTTAAAAAGTTTTTTGATAATGATCAAATTAAATGAAGTGACCAATATTGTGCCATAAACTGGTATCAAAGAACAAGAAAGCAAACTTACTCCAAACCTCCTCACTTTAATTCCATGTTACTTTATATAGAAATTTTATCTTAAAACACTTTTAAACTTATAGACAAGATGTTTGGGAGAAAATCATAAATGTAAAATATTTTCAATAATTTCTGGCTGAAAAGTTAGGAAGGAGAGATTTAAAAGTAAAAGTAATTTTATTCAATGATTTGGTAAAGCAAATGTTTTTACCTGTAAATAACCCAGGAAACCCATTCTTAGCAACAATGTCCTTCATTATAGCCCAGGTTGACGTAGGCGTAGAAACTAAATGTTAAAAAAAACAAACAAACATCATTATAAATTACCACTTAATTTCTCAGTGGCCTTTGGGATTCATTAAAAGGAAAAACTAGAAAAAGACTGTAAATTTAAAGGTGTGTAGAGCTAGATGTAACCAAAGAGGAACACACAGAAGGCTTCTCCTGAACTGATAATGTTTGTTTCTTAAGTTAGGTAGTGGATATTCTTTATACTTTTTCTATATCTTAAAAACTTTCATTAATGAAAAAAAATTAAAGATGTACTGAAATATTCATGGTGTTCCCAAAACCAAAGAGAAGTCCTGATAACCATTTTCCATTAAATTTTTATTATACACATTAAGAATTGTTTTTTCCTAAAAAGAGGTTCTCAAGAAAATAGTTCATTCTTCCTAGTAAGGCCCTACTTTATTAAAACTTTTCTGAATAGATGTGCTCGTCTTGAAATAAATTAGGTAAGTCCTGTCTCCTCCACAGGGCAGATTTATCCTTTAACTGACCATAACATCTCACTTATTTGCAACCACTCAAATAACTGAGACATATAAAACATTAATTTATATTTTCAAAACTAGATCTCACTGAGGTTCAAACATCAAGCTTAAGAATGAGCAGTAAATACACAAAGTTCACTTACCTTCCTTTTACACAATGATTCTAAGCAGCTGGTTTAGCCCACAGACTACTACATGCAATAACTAAAAAAAGTCTGCCAAGTAGCAGACATACTACCACGTGAACTCTGACAGCTGACATGCTGAAAATTTGTCTTTATCTGAGATAAACTGGAGGATTGGCAAACACTCCTATATTTCCCTCATTAGCTTCTGAGAACTGCATTACAAAACTCATGTACATTGATGACAACTCTGAGTCATTAAGAAAGATTAAATTACACATTATTATGCATACCTAAGAAATAAGGGAGATTAGAGAAAGGCATTTCAAAAATGTTTTTTAGAATATTGCCATTTAAGGGAATGGGGCTCATTACTCTTGTGCTCTAGGATTATATGTTAGCAAATGTAGTTATATTTTATTTATTTTAATTGTATGGTATTACATTATATGCATTATCACAATTTATCCATGTCCCTGCTAGGGACATTTAGGTGGTTTCTAATTTGGGGGGAGTAAGAATCCTTCAGTGAATATCCTTGTATATGTGCAAAATTTTCTCTAGGACACCCATCTAGGAGGAGTGGACCTGTTCGTTCAAAAAGCGTTTCTTGATATTAGCAGATGGTTTTCCCAAGCAGTTCCAAATCTGTAGTTGCAACTGCAAGACATGACAGCTCCCGTTGTTCCGCATCCTCCCCAAGAATCCAGCGCATATACAGTGTTCTTGCACTGCTGTTCTGGGCAGCATTTTCCTCACTCATATTAAGACTGAGCATTTCTTAGAAGTTTATTAGCCATGTGTAAACATTTTTTTAATGATTTTTTAATTTCTGTTTAAATATTTTAAGATATTGAATATGTTCAGAGAAAAAGTTTAACCTGTAGAAAACAGGTAGATCTTAGCCAGGTTTAAAAAGCAAAAACCAGAGGTTAAACTTTAAGAAATTAAATATAAATAATGTGTTCATAAATGAGGTAAAGGTTACCTCTGTCACAGGATAGAGCAGCTCTTAAATCCTAATGTGCTTCTCCACCAGACTGTAAGCTCTTTGAGGACTTGGCTGCCTCCTCATTTGTCTGAATACACCAGCATAGTGCCCAGCACCAAGAAGGCACTCAGTGGTAGTCGACCATTTAATGGATGAAGGCTGGGAGATAAGTTCTCAGTGCATTATACAGAGGTCATATTCTTGCATGGAACTGACCATCATATTTTCTTTATTTTGCTCAGAGATAAAGGGTTTGGTATAGCTGAGCTATGGAATGGAGGAATCCACTTCTAATGGAGCCGAAATATATATATTCCTTCTTTCATGGGGATAAATAGCACCCAAAGAAATTAGGAAAAAATGAGCTTTTATCATTCAAATCAAAAGTGCAGTTTGCAATAGAAACACATCTTGCTGAATATAATAATTCATAGCTGAAGTGGAGTAACAAGTAAAAGTGACCAACAATAATCATGGAATATTAAGACCCAAGGCTTACTTAAGGTTTATCTTTTGGGTTTAAACAGGGAAATAGTAATTAGAGAAAAAAAACCAGTGATAGATAAAGAGTTAAATTGAGTGAAAGAAGATGCCTCTCTGCTGCCAGTCTCAATGAGGATATACAATCACCTGAGCAACATCTTCAAAATACACAAGTTAGGGCCCCACCTTACATCTGCTAAGAGGCCACTGGGTGTAGTGCTCAGCTTTTGGTGTGGCGGAGAAAGCACCCCAGGGGGCTCCAATGATTATTTACCTAGGTAAGTGTGCATCTAACTTTAGTGTGTGTAAGAGTCTACCTACAGAGATTCCCTCCTTCTCCCTCATCATCACTATGGCTGCCGCCGCCACCTCACTGCCACAGCCATCAAACGTTTACAGCAAATTACACCAAAGACAATATTCCTACTACATTAAGTAGTTTACTTGCCAGGGAAAAAAACAGAAATTCTGATGTTCTGAAAGGAAGGTAAAACAATAATTTTGAACTATCAAGTGGGAAAAGATGATAGGGCTTAGGCATCTAGAAGGCTCACACCTAAACCAGGGAAGTGGGAGAACCCTGATAATAAACTTTGATTACCTCTCAGGTTTTAGTTTGCTTCTATTACAGGGGACTAGACTTTTGTAAGTCAAGGACAAAGCTGTCACTAATATTCACCAGGCTCGTTTTCAGGTCTAAAATCGATGTTTCTTTCAACATTAGTATACCTATTTTATTTTGTATGCAAATATTCTGGTGAGTTAGAACCACTTATTTACATTACAATAGGCTTACACAAGGCTTACGTGTCATAATTTTGTAATGGATATTTTCCAGTGGGTTTGCTACACTTTCTACAGATAATGAACATTGACAGAATGGGTCTAGAGGACACGACTAAGAGTACACTTTTGTTCTAGGAGAAATTACAGATTACAAAGGAGTAAAAATAAATGGGGTAATAGGGAAAAACATCAAAAGAAGGAAAACAAAGTAAATAGAAAAAAATTTTTAAAAATCAAATAAAATGTATGTGCATATTAATGAAACAAAACACACTAAGAAAAAGGTCTCCCAGTAATTTACTATCCTTCACCCTGACTTGTCCAGATTTATTTGAAAAAAATATTTATATAATTTAATCTTCTATAGAGAGCAGGTATAAGATTTAACTGATGGCAGGCAAAATAAATAGACTTTAAGATTCCTTACATTTTGTGTTTAGAGTATTTTTTTTCCTGGGTATTCCATTCTAAGAGTATATTAGTTTCGGTTAAAGAGTAAAGCCGAGGGAAAAATAATCTTACCCCTATTTCAGATATTCCTAACTTAGTATCTGGAAAGAAAGACAAAAATTTTCATGGCATCTTAAAAATATTTTAAATTAATTAAACTTACTTTTATGACATTCATACATCCAAAGTTTTGCCTGCTTTTGTGTTTTTACCACATCAAATGGCAAAGTCACAACAGCTGCAAACTATCAAAAAGAAAAATTGATTAATTTAAATCTCTCTTTTCAATTTTCCTAAAATTATATCTTTTAATTAGCATATTACTTAATAATTTATTCTTGTGTATGGTGTAAGAAGGTGGTCTATATGTATCTGTCCAATTTTCCCAAACCATTTATTGAATAAACTTATATTTAGCCCATTGCATGCGCTTGCTTTCTCTGTTGAATATTGACTGATTCTAAAGGTATGGGTTTATTTCTGGGCTCTCTCTTCTGTTCTGTTGATCTATGTGTCTGTTTTTATGCCAGTACCATACTGTTTTGATTACTATTGCTTTGTAGTACAATTTGATATTAGGTGGGGTGATTCTTCCAACTTTGTTCCTCATTCTCAGATTGCTATTGCTGAAACCCTTACACATTGCTGGTGGGATTATAAATTGGTACAACTGTTATGGTAAACAATATAAGGGTTCCTCAAAAATTAAAAATAGAATTATAACTAAGTCATTCCACTTTTGTGTATATACCTAAAGGAACTGAAAACAGGGTCTTGAAGATATATTCATTCAAGGAGGGGGGGAATACCCCAGAATTTATTTATAAAAAATTGTGTATTTAATATTACACATTAATATTTCAGTCACCTTCAAAATACTCTCTATTTGATGCAATACACCTATCAGGGCATTTTTTCCACCGCTCAAAAGTTTCTGAACTTATCAATTTTTATGCCTTTTAGTGCTTCTGACAATTTTTTTTTTTACCTCTTCCACAATGGCAAAACATTTCCCTTTGAGGACTTCTTATCCAAGGAGACAAACCAAAAAAAAAAGTGCTCTGGGTGAGATCAGGTGAATAGGGAGGGTAGGGCACAGGGGTTATGCCGTTTTTGGTCAAAAACTGCTGAACACTCAGCGCCGTGTGGGCAGGTGCACTCATAAATCACCCATCATGAAATGGGCAACGAGTTGAAAGAACCTTCAAAAAAACAATTCACTGAAGCAGACCACAGCCTTGCACAACAATGCCAGCTGGTACACCGACAACAGATGGGTTCCTAGAGCACTCACATAGTGGGGGAGCTTGTACTACAGGGGCCCGCCCTCCAGAAGATAATTCTGGGTTGTTTTGGGTCCCCCCTCATATATGTACTATAATAAAAACAGACAAAAAATGCATTTTAAAATATTTGAATGGCTGGTAGTTTATTTCCTCACAATAGGGTAGCAAATATTTAGAAATTTTAAAGGAGTGCAGCTCAAAAGTGCTATCTCCATAGACATGAAATGTTGCATTATATATTGTATTTTAATATAAAGACCATTTTCATTATTCTGGCATATTAACAACAAAAGAATAAACTTACAGAACCAGACAATGCCCCTGAAGTGAAGTTGATCATAAATGTCGGTTCATGTAAACTCAATTTCTCACACAACCACTTCTTTAAAACTTCATAGTTATACCAGTACATTGCTATAAAAACAGAATGAAATGAATCCATAATTAGAAATAAAATGCAGACATTGAAGAAAATACTTACGAAGTTATATATTAAACTAAAAATGGAACTGCCTTTTGACCTGTCAATTCCACTGCTGGGATTATACTCTAAAAATCCTGAAACACCAAGTCAAAAGAACCTATGCACCCCAATGTTCAAAACAGCACGACTTATAAGAGCCAAGTGCGGGAAACAGCCTAAGTGCCCATCAGTAAATGAGTGGATAAAAAAATTGTGGTATGACTAGATTAACAACTAGAGGAGACAGACACAGAGAGTAGATTCCTGGACGCTTTTTAAAGACTGCCTAAGGTCAGACAGGGTTAACAGCTGACATCATCAGAGGCAGATCCAGAAAGAAAGAAAAAAAAAATAGCAGTCTTCTACCATAGAAGTTCACACCACAAAGTCAGGAAATCGACAGAACAATTTAAGAAGCAAAAGCAAAAAAGAAGAGTCTCACAAATAATGGGAAGGAAAAGAAATACCCCCTCAATCATCAGGAAAGGAGGAATCTCCACAAAGAGAAATAAATAGAGAGGCAAGTAAACTCTCAGATACTGAGTCCAAAACAAAGGTTCTAAGGAAGCTCAATGAGCTCAGTGAGCTCAGTGGGAATTACAAAAAACTACAGGAAAACTATGAGGAACTTACTACAAACTATATCATAATGAAAAAAGACATGGAAACTATCAATATGAGGCAAGAAGAAATGAATACTATCTGAACTGAAGAACACAGTAGAAGGATTCAAAAGCAGGCTAGATGAAGCAGGGATCAAATCAGTGAGCTGGAGGACAAGGTAGAAAAAAGCTCCCAGAAAGAGCAAGAAAATGAAAAAAGACTCAAAAAGAATGAAGAGGTGTTGAGGGATATGCAGGACAACCTGAAACGTAATAATATCTGTATAGTAGGGATACCAGAAAGAGAAGAGGTACAAGGGAGAGAGAACCTGTTTGAAAAAGTAATGATGGAAAAACTTCCCTAATTGGAGAAGAGAAAAAGTCACACAAGTGGAAGCACAAAGAGTTCCATTCAAGAGGAACCCAGTGAGGCCTACTCCAACATACATCATAATTAAAATGGCAAATATCAAAGACAAACAGAAAATCCTAAAGGCAGCAAGGGAGAAACAGGTAGTAACATACAAGGGAGCCTCAATATGGCTAGCAGCTGACCTCTCAACAGAAATACAAGCCAGAAGCGAATGGAAAGAAATATTCAAAGTTATGAAAACGGCCTGCAACCAACACTACTCTACCGAGCAAGACTTTCAATTAAAATGGAAGGCAAAATAAGGAGTTTCCCAGGCATAAGAAAGCTAAAATAGTACACCTCCACCAAACCAGCACTACAAGATATGCTAAAGGGACTGCTTTAAGAAGATGAAGAAAAAGATGAGAAAGAGAGGATCACAGGTGCAAAGGAAAAAAATGAATAAGTTCCTATCAATGATAACTTTAAATTAAATGAATTAAATGCCCCAATCAAAAGACCCAGGATAGCTGAATGGATAAGAAAACATGACCCACACATATGCTGCTAATCAGAGACACACATCAGAACAAAGGACCTACACAGACTGAGAGTAAAGTGATGGAATATAATATTCCAAGCTAATGGACGGGGGGAAAAAAGCAGGGGTAGCAATACTTATATCAGACAAAACAGATTTCAAAGCAAAGGCCATAAAAAGAGACCCAGAAGGACACTTTATAATACTCAAGGGAAGAATCCATCAAGAAGACATAAACATTGGACACTTACATGCATCCAACATAAGAGCACCCCAATATATAAGAAAAATCTTGGAGGACTTCAAGAAAGATATAGACAACAACACACTGATAGTAGGGGATTTTAACACCCCACTGTCAACAATGGCTGGATCTTCCAAACAAAACATCAACAAGGATACTGTGGAACTGAATGATGCATTAGATGAAATGGACTTAACTGACATATATAGAACCTTTCACCCAAAATAACCAAGATACACATTCTTTTCAAATGCACACGAAACATTCTCAAGGACAGACCACATGATAGGACACAAAACAAGCCTCAACAAATTCAAGAAAATCGAAATCAAAACAAGCATTTTCTTGGACCACAAGGGCTTGAAACTAGAAACCAACCCAAGGAAAAAACTCAAAAACACTCAAACTCATGGAGACTGAATAGTACATTATTAAACTGAATGGATCAATAACGAGATCAAAAAGTTTCTGGAAACAAATGAAAATGAATACACAGCAGTCTAAAACCTATGGGACACAGTGAAGGCAGTCCTGAGAGGGAAGTTCATAGCAATACAAGCTGACCTAAAAAAGATAGAAACATTTCAAATAAAGGACCTAACCCTCCAGTTTCAAGAACTGGAGAAACAACAATAAACAAAGCCCAGATGGAGTAGAAGAAAGGAAATAATGAAGACCACAGCAGAATTGAATGACATGGAGACTCAAAGAACAATTTAAAGGATCACCCAATCTAGGAGCTGGTTCTTTGATAAGATAAACAAAATCAACAAGTCTTTAAGCAGACCCATCAAGAAAAAAGGGAGAGGACCCAAATAAATAATAACAGAAATGAAAGAGGAGAAATAACAACTGATAACACAGAAATACAAAGGATTGTAAAAAAATTACTATGAACAATTATATGCCAAGAAATTTGAAAACCTCGGTGAAATGGACAAATTTCTAGAAAAGTATAACCTTCCAACACTGAATGAAGAAGCAGAAAGCCTGAACAGACCAGTAACAGCTGGTGAAATTGAAGCAGTACTCAAAAAACTCCCAGCACACAAAGTCCTGGACCTGACGGTTTCACAGGAGAATTTTACAAAACATTTAAGGAAGAGGTAACCCCTGCCTTTCTCAGACTATTCCAGAATATGCAAGAAGAGGGAAGACTCCAAAATTCTTTCGATGACGCCAGTATCATCCTAATCCCAAAACCAGATAAAGACACAACAAAGAAAGAAAACTACAGGCCAATATCGCTGGTGAACACAGACGCTAAAATCCTCAACAAAATATTGGCAAATGCATCCAGCAATACATGAAAAAGATCATCCACCATGATCAAGTGGATTCATCACAATGATGCAAGAATGGTTCAATCTTCACAAATCAATAAACGTAATACATCACATAAACAAAAGACAAACACTACATGATCATATCAGTAGATGTGGAAAAAGCATTTGATAAGGTATAGTACCCATTTATGATAAAAACACTCAGCAAAGTGGCAATAAAGGGGGCATACCTCAATATAATAAAGGCCATATATGAAAAACCTACAGTCAACCTCATACTCAATGGGCAAAAACTAAAAGCTTTCCAGTAAGATCAGGAACAAGACAATGATGTCCGGTTTCACCACCTCTATTCAACATAGTACTGGAAGTCCTAGCCACAGTGATCAGACAAGAAAAAGAAATAAAAGGCATCCAAATTGGAAAGAAGGAAACAAAACTGTCATTGTTTACAGATGACATGATAGTGTACATGGAAAACTTTATAGATTCCATCAAAAAACTATTTGACCTAATAACTGAATTTGGTAAAACAGCAGGGTACAAAGTCAATATTCAGAAATCAAAGGTATTTTTGTATACCAAAATTGAAATATAAGAATCAGAATCAGAAATCAGGAAAAAAAAATCCCCTTTGCTATAGCAACAAGAAAAACAAAGTACCTAGGAATAAACTTAAAACAAACAAAAAACAAACCTGTGGTACATATACACAATGGAATACTACGCAGCAGAAAGAAAGAAGATAGCTCCTACCCTTCACAACAGCATGGATGGAACTGGAGTATTATGCTAAGTGAGATAAGTCAGTAGGTGAAAGACAAATACCTTATGATCTCACCTATAAGTGCAGCCTAATTAACAAAACTAACAAGTGAGCAAAATAGAGCCAGAGACAAGAAAATAAATAACAAACTGACAGGGACCAGAAGAGGGGGGAACAGGATAATGGGGAAAGAAGGGAAAGGGTCATCAAGGAACATATATAAAGGACCCATTGACAAAAACAACACGGGTGAGGAGGATTGAATATGGGAGGTGAGGGTGGGTAGGGCAAGGGAGAGTAATGGGGGAAAATGGGGACAACTGTAATAACAACAATAAAAAAATACAGGAAGGAGACATTCTAACTTGCACACATCATTCTTTCTGTTTAGACACATACTAGGTGAGATTTTTTTTTTAAAGTGACTAATTCTCAGTACTGTGCTAGCAGTCATAAACAAAAAAATTATGCATTGGTGAAGTAGGACTTTAATTCCAAAACCTGACACAGACAGGAGAAAGGAAAAGTGCAGGCCAATATCATTCATGAACATACATGTAAAATCTTGCAAAGATTAAATAATAAAGAGCAACTAAAGCCAGAGGTATTTCATAAAACATCATACACTATAACTAAATTGGTTTATCTGAAGAATGCAAAGGTAGCAAATATAATAAACCCTTTAGATGCCATATATCACATTGACAGAACCACAAGATCACTTTCATTTAGAGCAAATAAATTTCTTAGAAAATAGGGTTAAAAGAGACGTTCTTTAACTTGATAAAAGATATGCATCAAGAACATGATGCTGGCATAACTATCCACCTGCTGGGGGAAATGAATGCTTATTTCACTCAATAACCACAAATCAATTATGGATAAATGAATGACCAATGAAACAGTGCACCAGCCTCTGCAATAATCAGAAAAAATGTAAGTTATGGTAAGGTAACCACTTTAAATTACTAAACAAAAATTAAGAACTGAGACAATAAAAGTGTTGGGGAGGGTATGTAGTGAAGCTGGTAGGCATGTAGATCTGCACAACTACATTAAAAAAGTTTGCATTATCTAGTAAAATTTTAAATGTATGAACCAGCAAATCTAATACTGGAGAAATTTTTGTATATGTACACTAAGAGGCTGTTAAAAATGTTCACAACAGGATTGTTTACTCACACATAAAGGTGAGTAACAATGAAGAAAATAGTTACACATACAAATAAGAATAAACCTTAATTTTGCTTTATTAATTATAAGAAAATAATTCTATTTACTAGCAATAAAAAAAAGGTACCTAGGAATAAATTTAAACAACGTGAAAAAAGCCCTATACTGAGAATATTATAAGATATTGAAAAAAGAAATTCAGAAAGATACAAAGAAGTGGAACTACGTACTCTGTTCATGGATTGAAAGAATTAACATCATTAACATGTTGATACTACCCAAACCAATCTATAGATTCGATGCAATTCCTCTTAAAATACAAATGGCATACTTCACAGATCTAGAAAAAATATTCCAAAAATGGAATATTCCAATATTTTTTATATGGAATTAAAAAAAAAGACCCTGAATCACCTCAGCAATCTTCAGAAAGAAGAATAAAGTTGGAGGGATCACAGTGCTTGATAGAAAACTATACTGCAAAGACACTGTAATCAAAACAGCCTGATACTGCCATAAGAACAGGCATATAGATCTATGGAACAGAATAGAGAGCTCAGAAATAAACTCACATCTTTATGGTCAATTAATATTTGACAAAGGAGGCAAGAGCATACAATGGAATAAAGACAGTCTGCTCAATAAATTGTGTTAGGAAAATTGGAGAGGTACATGGAAAAAAATGAAACTAGACCACCAACTTACACCATGCACCAGAATAAACTCAAAATGGATAAAAGACTCAAATGTAAGTCACAAAACTATAAAAATCCCAGAAGAAACCATAGCCACTAAAATCTCAGGACATCCCTTGTAGCATTATTTTTCCCAGTATTTCTCCTAGGTAAGGAAAACAAAGGAAAAAATAAGTAGATGGGACTACACCAAACTAAAAACTTTTGCACAGCAAAAGAAACCATCATCAAAGTGAAAAGTGAACCCACTGTATGTGAGAATGTATTTGCCAATGATATTGAATTGGCCAAAAACCTGCTTGGTTTTTTCCATAAAACAAAAGACACATTTTTCATTTCCACCAAAAACTTAATGGATTTGGATATTTTGAGTATGTCGGCTATCTCTCGCGTGGATATAATGCTGATTGTTCTATCAACTTCAACTAGTCTATGTGACCATGGTTATGGTCCAGTGAGAAATCTCCAGCAAGAAACTTGACAAACCACTTTTGACATGTTCAGTCAGTCACAGCACGTTCTCCATACACTGCACAAATTTTTTCTATTTTGCATTTCAGTTGCATGTTTACCTTCCTTGAAATAATAAAACATAATATGCTGAAAATGTTGCTTATTTTCTTTCATCTTCAATATTGAACTAGCTACACAAAAATTCACTAATTTTAATAAATTTTTTTGTTAAATGCACGCTGATATGACAGCTGTCACAATGCAATCTAACAAAATTGTTTCAAATGAAGTTAAACACAAGTGCTACTAGAGCCATCTTACAGAAAAAAAGAACAAATGGACTCTTTGGCCAACCCAATACATCTGATGAGGGGTTAATTTCCAAAATATGTAAAGAACTCAAGACAAGGAAGATAAACAATCCAATTAAAAAATTGGTGAAGGACATGAAGAGACACTTCTCCAAAGAGGACATACAGATAGATGGTGAGCAGACTTATGAAAAAATGCTCAATGTCACTAATCATCAGAGAAATGCAAATTAAAACCACAATGAGATACATCACCTGACACCTTCCATAATGGCTACCATCAATAAATCAACAAATGACAAGTGCTGGCAAGGTCGTGGAGAAAAGGGAACTCTAGTGCACTGATGGTGGGAATGCAGACTGGTACAGCCACTGTGGAAAAGTTTGGAGTTTCCTCAAAAAATTAAAATGGAACTGCCTCTTGACCCAGCAATCCCATTACTGGGAATATACCCTAAGAATCCTGAAACACTAATTAAAAAGAACCTATGCACCCCTATGTTCATAGCAGTGCGATTTATAATAGCCAAGTGTTGGGAAAGGCTGAAGTGCCCATCAGTAGATGAATGGATTAAAAAACTGTGATACACTGACAGTGAAATACTGCACAGCAGAAAAAAGGAAGGAACTCCTACACTTCACAACAGCATGGATGGAACTGGAGAGTATTATGCTAAGTGAAACAAGCCAGCAGGAGGAAGACAAATACCGTATGATCTCACTTATAAGTGGAATCTAATGAACAAATAAACTAACGAAGAAAACAGAACCAGAGACATGGAGACATGGAACAGACTGACAGCAGAAAGAGGAGAAGGGGAGGAGTGCAAAGGTGGAAGGAAGGGGAAGGCATTAGTCAAGGACATGTATGAAAGACACATGGACATGCAACGCTGTGGGGACTGACTGTGGGAGTGGGGGGTGTGCTGAGTGAAGGGGGGCCCGGGGGAAAAGTTGGGTCAACTGCAATAGAATAAACTGAAATATTTTTTAGTTTTAAAACCATCTTAATAAGATTGTATTAAAAAGAGAACCAATATAGTAGCTACCAATGGGTCTGTTATAGTAGAGGAGGATATATGTGGTTTCTAGTTTCATGATTTTAAAAACTGCAATGTTCTAGTTCATATACTTAAGTGGTGACTTCACCAGTGTTCATTTTATTAGTAAACTTAAAAATTTGTATCTGTTACTTTTTCTGTGTTAAATATCATATAATATAAAAACAAAAAATACATTTGGCCTAGGAATGTATGATTTATTACACACAGTATGTTTTTAAACAACTGATCACAAAATGTTGAAGAAAAATACTAATGAAAATGGAAAGATGCATAGAGATATGAGTAAGAGTGTCAAAAAAAAGGATTAAAAGGGAAAAAATAAAGTAGAACATTGATACAAAGGTCCTTAGTGATTGTTTCTCTCAGGTCTTAAATGAAAACTCACATGACACACAAGAGAAACTGTACTATAATATGCATGTTCTACAAGTTATTTGTTAGCTTTATACTTCTTTTTCACAATTTTCATAATTTATAAATTCATAATTTAATGATTAGCATAATCTTCTATCGGATTTATAATAGTATTGTTTACAGGACACCCATTTAATGGGGAAGATTTTGTCTTTGATAATTGAAAAAAGTAGGAGTCAATATTATTCACAGGCAGTCTTAAATATATTTTATTATTTTGATTTGTAGTAGTTTACTTACCTTACTATTTATGATTTATTCAGAGTAAGTTAAACATAATTTGTATATCTAAATATAAATGAATATCAATTAATATTTGAATAGAAATTAAACATAAGAAGAAAATAAAACCATGCTTGAATGAGAAACGTCATTCAATAAAATCCCACAAAGCTCTGAGGGCCCAACACTGAAATAGGAGTTTGTGCTTACTAAAAAAGATAGCTCACCTTTAGCTTTAAAGGATTTAAATTTAGTTGATGTTAAAGTAATATATATGACAAAGCTACTTAAAATTTAGCTGATACAAATAAGATAAATGCTACCTGAGAACGGTACATCTCTAAGAACAGTAGGACTCCAGCCTCTCCAAAGGGAAATCCAACCATCTTCAGATACTTTCTTGCTGACAAACTGATGCAGTTCCTTGTAAGAAAACTTCTTAGATTGCATTTTGGTTCTTATCAATTCTAATGGACTTATCACAGTTACTGCACCAACTAATATAAACAACCAAATATTAAAAAACAAAAACAGAGCCATGTACTATGCAAATACACATGCAAAATTAATAGTTCATACATTTTATATTTTAAACTTCTATTCTGAAATGTCTGCAAACCTTAAAAATCAAATACCTAATGCTAACATACTGATGCAGATTTTTTTTTCTTGGTAAGGGTAATTCTTAAATGTCTGTTTCCATATACCTTACTCTCTCTGGTTTCAACTCTTTCAAGGGCAGTTCCAGGAGAGAGAGAGAGAGAGACAGACAGACAGACACACACACACACACACACACACACACACACCCCCCACCACCTCCCCCACCCCCCAACTAAAACTACTACAAAAACTTCACTCCAACTGCACAGAGAAAAACGTCCTTCTGCATAGAGGCAAACTTCTTTCTGGTGAAACTCTGAATCTCAAAGTCTGTAAGGAAAATGATTCAGGACTTTTGCATCAATCTGATGTCATCCTAATATCCAGAATCTAAAATCTAAAATCATTCTAAAAATCTCTGTTCAAGATTTGACAAGGATGGGTTGATCCCATTTCTTTCTGATGGCAATTACCGTATCATATGACTTCTAGAGTATAAATATTAACAAATTAGTACAAACTACAAATGCAAAATGTGTATTACCAATACTTTGAATTTTATACAAATTCTCTGTGAATGTCAAAATTTTAAAAGAAGCTTTAAACATAAGTGAAAATGAAAATATAGTAAATTATCACTTACATCTGGCCACAATTCCAGCAACAATTGGTATGCGGCTTTCATTTTCTCCTAATTTAGATCTCAGGAGAGCAGTTAATTGATCATAGCAGGTAAAATAAATAACTGTAGCAGGAACTGCCATTACTCTGTTAGAAACACAAACAAAAAGATTTGTATAAAATTATCAAAAATGCTTAAATATACTATTAAATACAAGCTAAATTCCTCATATTTTGTATACACTAAAAACTGTAATGAACCAGCCTATGATATCAATTTTTCTTTTATTTTAAAAATTATTAACTTAGGTTACAAAAGGAATTTAAATAGGTATCTACCCTCTAGAAGTTTACATTCTAGTTATGAAAATAAGTTAGAGTACCAGTCAAATCATAAACAGGAAAAGATAAATGAGGACACTTCTCTACCTCCTGGACTTATTCTATGTTCTGTTTCTGGTCTCCCAAATCTTCTTTCCCAATTATATTTATCATAACAAGAAAATCACTGAAGTAAAAAGTACAAGAGCCATTATAAGATATTTTTGAACTATGGACCATATATCATACAAGCTTACAAAACTGGAAATAAATTACAATTAATAATGCCAGACTTATATAGTATCAAGGAAATTCCGATAACATTCTTTCAAATGAAGATATCAAAAGGGAATTATTAATTGAACTAGACACAAAGTTGCAGGTGCTGTCATGTCATAAATATTAATGCAACAAGAAACCAGCCTATGTTTACAGATTAACTAAATGACATTCACAGACCATACTATGACATCCCTAATGTTCTACAATGAAGTTTGACGATGAGAATTTTGAAATACGTTTGACTGCTGGTCTTGGATCTACCACTAACTTTGTAAATTTACACAGTTTTTAAATATATGCCTCAAAGTTGACTAATTTGCTCCATTAAAAGATAAATTAGAAAGAAACAAACTATATAAGAGAAAGGTATTAGTTGGTATTTTTAATTAAGCCTTATTAGTTTATCACATTAGTTCATATAATAGCTAATTAGTAGAGTATTAAAATTATCTGGAAAAGGAAAAGTATACTTTCACAATGTCTCATTATTTTGGATAAAATAAACAAAAAGTCATACACCAAATTCTCAGTTTCTGAATATGAAAGAACAATTATGCTTGTGCACCAAAGACAACAAGCCTGGTTGCTCAAGTCTTCTATATGGTCAGGAGGGCATTATTGCATGCTTGACCTTTGGCCAACTCCAATAAAGTTAGCCCTTGGAATGTTCCCTATTATAAGGTTTTCTTTATATCTGGAACTAATCCAACTTGTCTAGGTTGATTTTTGCAAATGATGTGATATTTGGTAAACATCTGCTTTTCTTCTAGGGGTCTGGAGTTTTGGTAATCAGAGTTGGTCACAAACACTGAATGTGCCTATGCCATCAACCCTCACTAAAAGCCCCAGACTCTAAAATTCAAGTGTAATTTAAGGTAGAAACACTTTTCACATGCTGCTGTAGTTCAATGCTGAAAGAATAAATGCATTCTGGGTGATGTCATGAGGGAGGACTCTGAAGCCTACTGCCTGGTCAACTTCTTTTGTGTCTTTTTCCTTTACTGATTGTGCTTTGTGTCTTTTTGCTGTAATAAACTACAGATATGAGTGTAACCTTCTTTAGGTCTTATGAGACCTTCTAGCAAATCATCAAATGTGTCAGTGGTTGTGGAAATCACAAAACAATGCTTTAAAAAAGTTCTAATATTAAAAACACAATTTTACCTAATCATGATGATTATAAAGCAAAACAAAACTTAGTAAAAAATATATCAAATTTCAACTTACAAGGTAGGGGGAAGACCACTCCACAGGGATTTAATGCCCTCATTTCGGATGATTTTCAAAAAGGCATCCTAAAATGATAATAGAGGAAAGTAGTCAAAATATATCCCTAAATCTGATATATAAAAAGTTGACACTAATAACCGATTGTTAATCTCATTCTCTGAAATGTTTATTTCTAAAATATAAGTTTCTCAGATGTATGTATGGCCAATTTTTTTTGTAACGGAATTTTCCCCTGGCCAGTTAGCTCAGTTAGTTAGAACACCATCCCTATACACCAAAGTTGCAGGTTTGATCCTTAGTCAGGGCACATAAAAGGATCTATGAATGAATGCATAAATAAGTGGAACAACAAATAGATGTTTCCCTCCATCTCTAAAAAAAAATCCCCCCAAAACAAAAAACCAATGTCATTTTTCTGAGAACTAGAACAAATAATCCTAAAATTTGTATGGAACCACAAAAGACCTCTCATAGCCAAAGCAATCTTGAGAAGGAAGAACAAAGTCAGAGGTATCATGTGCCCTAATCTCAAACTACACTACAAGGCTATAATAATCAAAAGAGTATGGTGCTGACACAAAAACAGGCACATAGAACAAGGACCAGAATAGAGCCAAGAAACCTAACTTATATGGTCAACTAACCTATGACAAAGGATGTAAAAACATATAATGGAGTAATGACAGTCTTTCAACAAGAGGTGCTGAGAGAGCTGGAAAGATACATGTGAAAAATAAATAGCCCTGGCTGGTGCGGCTCAGTGGATTGAGCACCAGCCTGCAAACCGAAAGGTTGCCAGTTCAAGTCTTGGTCAGGGCACATGACTGGGTTGCTGGCCGGGTCCCTGATTGGGGGCATGTGAGAAGCAACCGATTGATGTTTCTCCCACACATCGACGTTTCTCTACCTCTCTCCTTTCCACTCTCTAAAAATAAATAAATAAAGTCTAAATAAATAAATAAAACAGGACCACTCTCTTACACCATATACAACAACAAAATCAAAATAGGTTAAAGATGTAAATGTGAAACTGAAACCATAACACTTATAGAAGAAAACATAGGAAGTAAACTATTTGACATCAGCCTGAATAATGCCTTTTTGAATACAGCCCCCTGAGCAAGGGAAACAAAGGCAAAAATAAAACAAATGGGATTTAAACTAAAAAGCTTCTGCACAGCAAAGGAAACCTTTAACAAAACACAACCTACTGAATGTGAGAATATATCTGTACATCATATATCTTGGTAAAAAGTTGATATCCAAAATATATTTACAAACACATATGACTCAAATACATATACATACACACACACACACCCCCCCAATTGAAAAATGGGCAGAAGATACGAAAAGACATTTCTCCAAAAAGGACATACAGATGGCCAACAAACGTGAAAAGATGCTCAACACCATTAATCATCAGGGAAATGAAAATCAAAACCACAATGAGATACTACCGCACACCTATCAGAATGACTATTATAAAAAAGTGAACCAACAAGTGCTGGTGAAGATGTGAGAAAAGGGAACTCGTGGGCACTGTTGGTGGGACTGTAAACGGATGCAGCCCTTATGGAAAACATTATGGAGATTCTTCAAAAACCTAAAAATAGGCTTACCATTCAACCCAGCAATTCCACTTTTGGTTATTTATCCAAAGAAAATGAGAACGTGAATTTGAAAAGATATGTGCACCCCAAGTTCATTACAGCATTATTTACAATAGCCAAAATATGGAAGCAATCTAGGTATCCATCAACACATGAATGGATAAAGAAGATATGGCATATATATACAATGAAAAATTACATAGCAATACAAAAGAATGAAATCTTGCCATATGCGACAACATGGAAGGCTCTAGAGAGTATTATGCTAAATGAAATAAGTCAAGCCAAGAAAGACAAATACTGTACGGTTTCACTTACATGTGGAATCTTAAAAAACAAAACAAACAAGAATAGACTCATAGAGACCAAAAGGACGGTTACCGGAAGGGTGGCAGTGAGAGGATGGATGAAAAGGAGAAGGGGAATATAGTCAAAAATGCTGAGATAAGTTTACACTGATAGATGATTATGAGAATTCAGGGGTGATCACATTGTAAGGTACAAAAATGTCAAGTCACTATATTGCACACCTGAAACTAGTATAAACGAGGTAAAGTTATATACCAACTATCCTTCAATTTTCATTTTTTTTAAATAGAAGAAAATCTTCAGGTCTAAGGGTAGGTAAAGAGTTCTTAGGCCTGACATTTTCTATGATCTACATAGAAAAAACACTGATAAATAAAACTTAACCAACATTTAAAACTTTTACTCCACTAAAGACCCCATTTAATAGGATAAAAAGACACAGTAGTCAGTATGAAAAAAAAATTGCAAAATACACTGTTGTGGACAAAAATGGGGAATGTACAAGTTCAGTAAGTCAAAGTAACCTCACAAGGTGATATGGTAATAAATTCCTAAATGGGAAGGTCAAGGTGAGTACTCTTTAGTAAAATGTTTATCTTTGCCTTAAGCAAGTCCTGTCCATTGTTTTTGTGCATGAAGGTTAGTTAACACGTCTTTGAAATGCCTCTTTTCAGTCCCCTCGAAAGTATACTGACCCTCTAACTCTAGGGAGCACATAATCTTGTTAGCCACCCTGTAATCCAGTCACCTGCCTTGCTCTCTTCCACCTTCAAGTAATCTTCCTTACTTCTCTTCTTAATTGCAAATGCATAAAAGACTCATCCTGAGAAGAGTTTCTTCTCAATCTGTTGAGATGCAGCTTCCAGGTATATCCTCTCTTTGGCTCTAATAAACTCATAAACTATTTTTAACTGTATTGGAAGTTGTTAGGTCAGCAAACCCTAAACATGCAACAACCATATGACCCAGCAACTGCAGCCCTAAGCATTTATCCCAGAAAAAGATCTAAATATTACAATTTATAATAAAATATACATTTTGGTCTTTGTCCATGGTTTCTGGAACACAGCACCTAAAATATTAAAATTTCTGAAGTGATAAAGAGCCATGGAGGCATCTTCTGTTATACTATTTGCTCTTTTGCCCTTAGTCCTGAAATTGCTCCAGATAAAGGTGAAAGGATTGTCTTTTGTTATTCAGAACAAGACCCTTTCAACCACACCAGAGTTTATGCTAATGAGGTGATTTTTGGAAGCCCCTAGATAACCACAAGGTGGGGACTGGTTAGGGGAACCAATCAAGTAATACGTGTATACCTGGGAGATATTTCCAGTTTAGATCCAGACCACTGCAATAAAGGGAGTCACACACATTTTTTGGTTTCCCAGCGTGTGTGCAATTTATGTTTATATTACACCATAGTCTATTCAGTGTACAATAGCATTATGTCCAAAAAATGTATATACCTTAATTAAAAAACACTTTATTGCTAAGAAAATGCTAGTTATTTGAGCCTTCAGCAAACTGTGAATTTCTTGCTGGTGGAGGGTCTTGTCTCAAGGTTAATGGCTGTTGACTGATCAGGGTGGTGATTGCTGAAGGCTGGGTTGTCTGTGGCAATTTCTTAAGATAGAACAACAGTGAAGTTTCCCACATCAGTTGTCTCTTCCTTTCATGAACAATTTCTCTGTAGCATATAATGCTGTTTATTAACAGTTTACTACTCACAGTAAAACTTCTTTCCAGTTTGGAGTCAGTCCTCTCAAACCCTGCCCCTACTTTATCAACTAAGTTTGTGTAATATTCTAAATCCTTTGTTGTCATGTCAGCAATCTTCACAGCATCTTCATCAAGAATAGATTCCGTCACAAGAGCACTTTTTATGCTTATCCATAAGAAGCAACTCCTTATCCACTCAAGTTTTATCATGAGATAGCTGCAATTCAGCCACATCTTCAGGTTCCAGTTCTAACCCTAGTTCTCTTGCCATTTCTACCACATCTTAGTCGTCCACTGAAGTTTTGAACTCAAAGTCATTCATGAGGGTTGGAATCAACTTCTTCCAAACTCCTATTAATGTTGATATTTTGGCCTCTTCCCATGAATCACAAATGTTCGTAATGGCCCCTGGAATGGTAAATCCTTTCCAGGTTTTCAATTGTCTTTGCCTAGGTCCATCAGAGAAATCACTATCTATAGGAGCTATAACCTTATGAAATGTATTTTTTAATTGATTTTTAGAGAGAGACAGGAAGGGAGTGATGGAGAGAGAAAGAGAAAAAATACTAATTTGTTGCTCCACCCATTCATGCATTCATTGGTTGCTTCTTGTGTGTGCCCTCACTGGACTGAACCTGCAACTTTGGCATATCAGGATGACGTTCTATCCAACTGAGCTACCAGGCCAGGGCTGAAATATATTTCTTAAATAGTAAGACACAAAAGTAGAAATTACTTCTTGATCCATGAGCTGCAGAATGGATGTCATGTTAACAGACATGGAAACAACATTCATCTCATTGTGTATCTTCATCAAAGCTCTTTGGCGATCAGGTGCATTTTCAATGAGGAATAGTATTTTGAAAGGGATTTTTTTTTTTTTTTTTCTGAACAGTCAGTCTCCAAAATGGGCTTAAAATGTTCAGTAAACCATGTTGTAAGCAGATGTGCTGTCATCCAGGTTATACTGTTCCATTTACAGAGCACAGGCAGAGGAGATTTAGCAGAATTCTTAAGGGCCCTAGGATTTTCAGAATGATCTAAATGAGCATTGGCTTCAATTTAAAGTCACGAGTTGCCTCAATTCCTAACAATAGTTAGCCTGTCCTTTGAAGCTTTGAAGCCAGGCATTAACTTCTCCTCTGTAACTACGGGAGTCCTAAACACAGGCCACCTTCTAAAATAAGGCTGTTTGCCTAGTTGAAATTCTGTTGTTTGATTCTTCCTTAATCATTTTAGCTAGATCTTCTGAATAACTTGCTGCACTTCTACATCAGCACCTGCTGGTTCATCTTGCACTTTTATGTTACGAAGATGGCTTCTGTCCTTAAATCCGATCAACCAACTTCTGCTAGCTTAAATCTTTTCTTCTGCAGCTTCCTCATCTCTCTCAGGCCTTGCTCTGGATTAGGCTTTGGTTTAAGGCAATGTTGTGGCTGGTTTAATCTATCCAGACTACTAAACTATTTCCAAATCAGCAATAAGGCTGTGTCACTTCCTTATCATTCCTGTGTTTACTGGAGTAGCACTTCTTTTTTTCTCATTAAACTTTGTTTTAATGGGTCTCAAAATTCTGTGACAAATTTTTGGTCAAGTTCTTTCCATTAAAAATTACTGATTTTAAAAACTAGATACTTAAAAACTGCCACACACACACATACACTCAAACAAAACAAATGGTTCACAAAACATTCTCCCTTCCTTCTGAAGTTTTACAATGCATTATAATCAATAGCCAGTCTTTACTGTTAAACTTAAGTGGCCAATTGAGACAAACAGTTCTCAGACCGTTTTTTCCACCGCTGATTAAGACCGGGGTATCATATATTGGGGATAATACTCATTTAGTTTTCTGAGCTTTCTGGGAAGACTTGGTGACCTTGCCAGCTCCAGCTGCCTTTTTGTCCACTGTTTTGATGACACCCACAGCAACTGTATCACGTCACAAAAAGCAAAACAGTCCAGAGGAGTAACATCGGAGGAGCTCTCAACACACATGGTTCACATGGAACCCTATCAATGATGGTGGCACCAAAAGATTTCAAAAACGTTGGGCCATCTTCCAGCTTTTCCCCAGAGCAATAGTCAATTTTATTCAGCTTAGCAAATTTGCAAGCGATGTGAGCTGTTGACAATCCAGCACAGTTGCATATCCAACACTAATTTGGCCTGGATGGTTCAGGCTGATCACTTGTGCTGTGAACCCAGCTGCTTCCATTGATGGGTCATTTTTGCTGTCACCAGCCACACTGCCACGATGAACATCGTGTCTGTCAAAGATGTTTGTCATGGAGTAGCACTTTTAATTTTCTTCAAGAATTTTTCCTTGGCTAACTGGTGCAAGAGGCCTACTTTTTGGCCTGTCTCTGCTTTCAACGTGCCTTCCTCACTAACCTTAATCATTTATAGCTTTTGATTTCAAGTGAGACACGCAACTCCTCCTTTCATTTGAACACACTTAAGAGGCCATTCTAGGGCTATCACTTGGTCTAATTTCAATATTGTTGTGTCTCAGGTAATAGGAGGCCCAAGGAGAGAGAGGGATGTGGAATGGGTCAATGGGGCAGTCAAAACACACACAGCACTTAGCAATTAAGTCTGCTATCTTATATGGGCACAGTTCATGGCATCCCAAAGCAATTCTAACATCAAAGATCACTGACCATAGATCACCATAACAAATATAATAAGAGAGTCTGAAAAATTGCAAGAATTACCAAAATGTGACACAGACACACTAAGTGAGCAAATGCTCTTGGAAAAATGGTGCCCATAGATTTGCTCAACATGGGGTTGTCACAAACCTTCAGTCTCTAAAAAACAAAAAAGAAATACTGGGAAGTGCAATAAAGTGAAGCATAATGAAATGAGGTATACCTACAGAGTTGAAACTTTCAGCTCCACTCCTGTACCCCACTCTCCTCCCCAGCCTCAGGACCTTTGGGGAAGGGAGAGGGGTTGGAGGTCAAACTAATCGCCAACAGCCAGTGATTTAATCAATCATGGCTACATAATAAAGCCTCCACAAAAATCCCTAAAGTATGGGGTTTGGAAGCTTTTAGGTTGCTGAACACATGGAGGTGCTGGGGAGTCGCACACCTGGAGGGGCATGGAAGCCCTACAGCCCTCCCCCAAAGCCTTGCCCTCCACATCTCCTCTACCTGGCTGTTCCTAACTTGTATCCTTTTATAATAAGCTCATAATCTAGTAAGTAAACTGTTTTCCTGAGTTTTGTGAACCATTATAGAAAATCTTCAGACTATAATTGGGAACTACAATTTATAGTCTTATCAGTCAGAGATACAGGACAACTTGTACTTCTGCCTCGTGTCTGAAATGGGAGCGGGTCTCATAGGTCTGAGCCTTTAATCTATGGAACTTGATGCTAACTCCAGGCAGAAAATGTCATAATTGAGTTAAACTATAATAGGATATCTAGTCGGTATCCACTGAGAAATGGAGAACTACTTGGTGTGGGGAAAGAAGAACCCCACATATCTGGCTCAAAAGTGTTGTAAGCAGTGTTCAGAGAGAAAAATGATGAGTAGGGTTTTTTATACTTACTTTCACACAAGAATCTGTGAATGAATGTATGTAGTAGCTTTATTCAAAAGAGCCAAAAATTGGGAACAGCCCAGAAAACAAAATGTGGTATAGCTCTATCATGGAATAGAATACTACTAAGCAATAAAAAGGAACAAACTATTGTTACATGCCACAATTTGGATGAATCTCTCCATAATTATAATTGAAAAGTGTCAACCCCAAAATATTATACATGTTATGATTCCATTTATATAACATTCTTGAAATTACACAACCATATAAATTTAGACCAGACTAGTGGTTGCCAGGAGCTAAAGAGCAGAAAGGAAATGGATGTGATGATAGACAGGAAACAGAAAGATCCCTGTGGTGAGGGAATTGTTCTGTATCTTACCTGTATCGGTGCCAATGTCCTGGTGGGCATTCATACTGGATACTTCACTTGTTTTTGTAAAGTGTTACCATTGGGGAAAACTGGGAAAAGGGTACATGAGATCTGCCTGTACATTTTTCTTAAAATTGCATATGACCTATAATTATCTCAATATAAAAATATTTAACTAAAAATATGTACTTCCTTTTTTTCCTACATAAAAAATGCATGAAAAAAATAAAAAGAAATTTAAAGAGTTAAAAGCAAAGAAGTATTTTCCTTTTCCTGCTTCAATATCTACTGTGGATAAATTTGCTAACTATATGATAAAGTTTCATTGTCTTGTAATTTGGAAAATCTTTCATTCATAAGATTAAATATAAAAATAGAAAATATATTGTGATTATAAATAATATAATCTCCTTACCAATGTTCCCCGGAAATATCCTGGCTTCTTATACCATACTTTGTTGCCTTCCTCTTCACAGACACATAGATGATCCATAAGTCCATTACTATATATAAAACATTTTCCTAACAAAGAAGATTGCAACAGTCAACAAGTACTTCACAGAACTGTATTATTTTTACTGACGAACAGATTGAAATTACAATGAGGGCCTAGAAAACTATAAGACAGACACAACCTTGTCCTCACCTTTTAGGATAAAATACACATAATTTGATTTAGATGTTCTAAATGAGATCTAAACTGACAGTGGTGAAGGTAACTGAGTAAACTCGTGGATTTTATGTTTTCAGAACTTAAGCAAATGAACACATAAATAAATTCTTTTTGGTTATCTGAGGAAATGGTAAGAAAAGATAAAGGAGAAAAACCTATTTTGATAGGAGAGTATGGGTGTACATCTTGTACATTTGGCAAGAAAATTCTGTGGTATACAAGGGAAACACAGGCAAAAATATATTACGAAATCTAATGCTTATATGAAAGTTGCCAAGAGAGTAGATCTTAAAAGTTCTCATGACAAGAAAAAGTACATTTGCAAGGTGATGGATGTTAACTAAACTTACTGTGGTAATTATTTTGCAATATACACATATATCAAATCCTTATGTTCCATACCTAAAACTATTATAGCATTATATGTCGATTATATCTCAATAAAAATAGATTATGAAAAAGTATGTTCTTCCTGATCATTGTATAGTGCTATGCTTTGTCCCTTTCTCTGGATCTATACTGCTCAGTTTAGACATTCTTCACCTCCCACCTAATTTACCACTTTCTTTAATACCAACTTCTTCCCATTATTGGACTCTTGCTGCCAAAATTGTCTTCTCTGTTCGACCATATATGTAATTCTGTGAGTTCCACAATACAACATTGTGTAAGGAGGCCACAATACAAGTCAAGTGCCTCCTGCTTTTAAGGCTTTCTTTAATGTGTAGGGAGCTACCTTACTTTTTTAGTCTTTCTACAATCCATCTATCCTGTCATTTATCTGAAATATGCCTGCTTTTCATTCCATCTCACTACTATGCATTCAACAGAGTGGCATTTATGTCTGACCCAAATTCCTCACGGTCCAGTCAGTTTTCTGCTATTTAAACATGTTTTAAAGTGCCATTATCTCTATACAACTATACAAATTGATGAAGGAATTCCTATTTTTGCCCATCTAATAAAATGTATAATTACTCTTCTCAGATTGCACATAAACTATACTGTCTAGCAATTAACCAAGCTGCCTGATAAGATAATGAGTTTCCTATCACTGCATTCAAGCAATAGCTGGATAACTGTTGATATTCTAGGACTGGCACAGCTCTTAGCCTAAGGAGGAAGCTATAATCTAAGGTCCCTGACAAGTATATTCTGTTCTTAGTTGTGAGGCATATACCCAAATATAAAATGATCGACTGACTTAATTAGTAGGTTCATAAAGTGTTATATATATGTATTTGTTTTCAGCCTAGTCAACTAAGTGATGAAAAACTGCTTCTGCATGAGGATAAAGAGGCATCAATTTTTTTTTAACTGACCAGAGATTAACATTAAAAAAAAAATGAACGCAGTAACATTTAAAAATTGAACATAATGCTTCCAGGGTAACTAGAACATACCTTTGGGAAATGGGTTGTTTTGGGCTTGGAGTCGAATTTTAACAACATCCAGGGGTGTCACTGTGAAGATACATAAATTTCAATTAGCAAGTGATACACGTTAAGTTTATAGATGTTTGTTATACAAAATACATGGCAGGGCAAAAAGTAGGTTTATAGTTGTGAGGACAAGAAACACAGTGTTCATTCTTATTTATTAGTTATCGTATTATTTTCTATATGAACAAGTGTAAACCTACTTTTGCCCCAACCTGTGTTTTGAATCATACTTCTCATGACTATACAATGGTAAGATTATTTATCTTAAAGTGGTTTTGAATGTAATATTCTAATTTTTTCCCTTGACTTTTGTTTGAAGATTAAAGAGAAAACAATGTAATTACTTCTCTCACGAGTCCTAAAATGTCATTTAAAATACTTCTACAATTATAATTTCATTAACATTAAAACTAAAATAGTAGTCTGAAAGCCTATTTAAATATGGAATATAACTCTGTATTATAAGTTACTAATAACCAAACAATATTAGTCTTCCTAATCTATTAAATTCACCTGTAGTGAAGAGAAACTACAGTTAACATAAATTTGAGTAAGCTAGTCATAAATCATCTTTACCACCAGGTTCTGTTATTCCATTTGGGAACAGCACAGCAAAGGAGAATGGTTGTAATTTGCATTCTATATTTGCCCAAATAGAAAAAATGCCAAGCAACGGTACCAAAGAAAATTCTTCTTCATATGAGTTATCTCTAAGACCTTTAGAACCCTAACATTCTGACCTGACATGACATACAATCATCCTAAAGTAATTCTGTTAGTTGTAGTCATCTGCCATCTTATTTAAATAAATTAGCCAAGTTAAAATCATTAAAATGCTGAACTATCACCTAACTATGTCATTTGGCCGTGTTTACAAGAAACTGATTATAAAAAAATAGAAAAATGTGGTCCAGAGAAATTTTAAAAATTCATAGCAAAGTTAAACAATTTGTATTTATTGCTATTATAGATTGTCCAAATTCTGAACTATTCATTATGCTGATACTTTATTTTATCTTGCTTTCTACTTTTTAAAAAGAATAAAAGTCAGGAAAGCTTAACACTGATAAAAACCACAAAAAACTCCTGGTGTAAGGCCCTAATTTACAGACGAAAAATGAAGCTCAGAGAGAAGTAGATGCAATCTGAAAGTGCATCCACCCTGAGAATGACAAAACAAGGACTAAAGTTCAAGACTCTTGATTCTCTGTCCTGGGTGCTTTTCATGTTATGTTGATGGAAGAGTATTATCATTTATGAAAGGTGAATGATAGTATTATCATTATATCACAGATGTTAAACTCAAATTAATTCACTGATTCATTCAGTTACATAATCTACATCGGTAACATTATTTTACCGATTAGTGATGTCAGTATAGCTCCAGTGCAAGAGGCAAGCATTTGTTGAATAGGTGTCACTTTGATAATCGGTTGTCCCCCTTCTTCAGGATCCATATTTTTAACTAATTGAAGAAAAATCTGTTAAAGAAAAGCAAGATGTAAAATAAAAGTTTAATAGAAAATGCCCTCAAAATTGACTGCTATAAATTAAATAAACTATAAAAACAAGGAAAATCGGGAGAGGCTCAAAGAGAGCGAGCAGGATGACAGCTGTGGGGTGGGGGGAGGTTAGGGGGGCGGAGGGACTGAGCAAAAAGGAAAAAGGGCTCCTGGACACGGACAGCAGTGTGGTGGTTGCGGGGGGAGGGAGGTATACAGGGACTAAATGGTAATGGGAAAAATACAATAAAGATTAAATTTTCAAAATATAATCAGCATTAATATCAAAGCACATGTTATGACAACTATCAGAAGTAAATATCTAAGTTCTATACATAAAGACACTACACAACTTTCATGAACAGAACATATTCCCTGATTTGCCAAAAAAGGTCATGTACCTCAGCTAAGCTGTGTAAGTAGTATCACACTTGCAAGAAAGTTAATAGAGCATTAAGAAAACACTCTGGCTATGTAACAGAATGAAAGCAGATGACCAAAAAGACTGAGAATTTGTGAATTTAGCTTCTTAAGAACTACTCAGATACAATGATATGGTACAGAGTTATCAGCAAATATAGCACTGTGTTTACTGCATACCAAAAGTTGCTCAACGTATAAAATAAAATCAAAACACATAACCTCCAGAAGAAGCATATTAGAAAAATTTGATGAGAAAAACAAAGTATACTTCCTAAAAAGCCAGTCAGCAAAAAAAAGTATAAAAATCACTTATAAACTTGCTATTCAGAAATAACCAATGGCAATATATTGGTGTCATCATTCCAAATGTCATGTGCACACAAACACATATGCAAATATGCAAATGTTGTGTGTACATATTATATTCAGGGTGAGGCAAAAGTAGGTTTACAGTTGTATATGTGTGAAACCAACTTTATTCCTGTATTATTAATTATTGTACTATTTTCCCTAGGAACAACTGTAAACCTACATTTGCCCTACCCTGCATGTAGAATATGCAGATGTTACCTGCACAGGCAGATTAAATCTAATTAATTAAACATGAATAAACATTTGTATATCTTTGTACATGCATATTTTGTGAAAAAATAGGTTACTATTATTGCATGTAAACTGTAATTAAAATAAAATTAAAAAGTAGGTTACTACTATTCATATTGCTTAGTAGACCACTTTGATACCTAAAATACAGACAGTGTGTCCTGGCCAGGTGGCTAAGTTGGTTGGAGCATCATTCCATACACCAAAGAGCTGTGGGTTTGATCCCCAGTCAGGACACCTGTGTAGGTTGCAGGTTCAATTCCCAGTTGGGGCACGTACAGAAGGCAACTGATTGATGTTTCTTTCTCACATAGATGTTTCTCTCCCATGTTTCTCTCTTTCCTTTCCCCTCTCTTTCTAAAATCAACAAACATATCGTCAGGTGAGGATTTAAATATATATATTTATAGAGAGAGAGAGAGACATTATATCAATATAGATTTACATTATCATTTTTAATGCTTAAAGTTTTTTTTAAAATCCTCACCAAAGGGTATGTTCATTGACTTTTAGAGAGATGGAGAGGGAGCAAGAAAGAGAAGTACAGAAACACTGATCAGATCAGCTGCCTCCCCTATACCTCCCAACAGAGGATCAAACCTGCAACCCAGGTATGTGCCCTGACTGGGGATCGAACTCACAAGCTTTTGGTGTACTGGACTACGCTCCAACTAAATGAGCCATCCTGCCTGGATAATGCTTAGAGTTTTTAATTTTATTAATTTAATCAGTCTTATAGTTAGATATTTATTGCCAGTTTTTCATTCATTCATTCATTCATTCATTCATTCCATACATTCTCATTATAAAAATCCTTATACATACATCTTTTTGTGGCATTCCTACAATTACTGTAAGAAAAAGTAAGATTGCTGGGCTAAACTAAAACTTGACACAAAATTCTTTCCAATTTATACTTCTACTGGTAATCTATGAGTTCCTATTAATCCACTTCACCAAACTCTCACATTATACATCATTTATCTTTTTCTGAACCATTTCTAAATAGGTTACAAACATCAAGCCTTTTTATCCTAAGTACCCTAGCATATTCTCTTACATAATCACAGCACAATTATCAAACTCAAGAAACTCAATTTTGATAATACTCCAGCTCATATCCCAATTTTGTCATTATCCCAAGAGTGACTTAACAAAAATGAATGGTAGTTTTACTGTTTCTTTACTTTTACTATTCATCCAACTAGTTTAAAATAATTTTTTATTGAATTTATTGGGGTGACTGTGGTTAATAAAATTACATGTATAGGTTTCAGGTATTCAATTCTATAACACATAATTGTATATTGTATTGTGAGTTCACCACCTAAAGTTGAGGCTCCTTCCATCACCATTTATTCCCCCTTTACCCTTTTCTACCTCCCCCTGGCACTCTTTCCCTCTGATAATCATCATACTATTGTCTGTATCTGAGCTGTTGTTGTTTTTTGGCTTGAGCCCTTCACCTTTTCACCCAATCCCCCAATCGTCTCCTCTCTAATGGCTGTCTGTTTTCTGTATCTATGAGTGTTTCTATTTTGTTTATTTTGTTCATTAGACTCCACATATAAGTGAAATCATATGATGTTTGTCTTTCTCCGAATGGCTTAGTTCACTCAGCATAATGCTCCCAGGTCCATCCATGCTGTCTAAAGGGTAAGACTTCCTTTTTACAGACAAGTAGTATTCTGTGGTGTAAATGGACACAGCTTTTTCATACACTCATTTACTCCTGGCACTTGGACTGCTTCCAAATTTTGGCTGTTGTAAATAACGCTGCAATGAACATAGGGATGCATATATTCTTTTGAATTAATGTTTCAGGTTTCTTTGGATAAATGCCCAGAAGTGTAATATCTGTGTCATTAGGAAGTTCCATTTTTAATTTTTTGAGGAAACTTCATACTGTTTCCACAGTGGCTGCGTCAATCTGCATTTTCGCCAACAGTGCACAAGGATTCCCTTTTCTCCACATCTTCACCAATACTTCTTGTTTGTTGATTTACTTATGGTAGCCATTCTGACAGTGTGAGTGATATCTCATTGTCATTTTAATTTGCACTTCTCTGATGATTACTGACATTGAGCATCTTTTCATACGTCTATTGGTCTTCTCTATGTCCTCTTTGGAGAAGGGTCTTTTCAGGTCATTTGACCGTTTTTTAACTGGATTGTTTGGTTTTTTTTGTGTTGAGTTTTGTAAGTTCTCTATAAATTTTGAATATTACCCCTTTTCAGATGTATTGGCAAATATGTTGTCCCGTCCAGTGAGTTCTTTTCATTTTGTTAATGATTTCCTTTGCTGTGTACAAACTTAGTTTGATATAGTCCCATTTGTTTATTTTTGTTTGTTTACCTTGCCTGAGGAGACGTATCAGAAAAATATTGCTAAAAGAAATGTCTGAGATTTTACTGTTTCTTCTCAGATGTATATGGTTTCAAGTCTTAATATTTAAATCTTTAATCCATTTTGAGTTTATTCTTGTGTATGGTGTAAGAAAGTGATCTACTTTTTTTTTCCCCCATGTATCTCTCCAATTTTCCCAGAGCCATTTATCGAATAGACCATCTTTACCCCATGGTATGTTCTTGCCTCCTTTGCTGATATTAACTGACTGCAAAGGTGAATTTATTTCTGGGCTCTCTATTCTTTTCCACTAATCTATATGTCTTTTTTTAATGCAAGTATCACGCTATTTTGATTACTATATAGAGCCTTGCAGTATATATTTTGATACCAGGTAGCATGATTCCTCCAACTTTGTTCTTCTTTCTTAAGACTGCTGTGGTACCTACCTGGTTTAAGTCTTTTCCTCAACTCTATGCACCAATATTTTGTTTGTGACATCAGTAGCTGAAAATCTGCAGTGGAAAAAAAAATGTTTTATCTTTCCACATAGCAAAAGGATAACAAGCCTAATGGAAAGGAGCACATAGAAAATTTTAAAACACAAATTAACATTTATTGAATGCTTTTAGTTAGTGCTTTGAGGAATATAAGAACACTCCACAAATGCTAGCATATTTTCACAAAAACTTCCAATTATCCCAGTAAATACATTACACTTTAAAAACAAACAATTCTATAACCTGAACACACTGATTAATCTTAGATTATTGAGTCAAATAAATAGACTTTGTGATGTAAAATTAAGTATCCAGCAATATCTATGACATATTTTGGGGAAAATAATTTGATCTGAATCTAAGTAATCCTTTAGCTCTAATGTCCATTTTACAGAAAATTAGAGACTAAAGTAACATGGTAAAGGATGTCGTAAAATAGGAGAAGGTATAATATTCTAGTCTAGAGGACTATAGTTTCTTCAGCAAATGAAAGTAAGGTGAGAAAAAAGGTGGCAGGGAAGAACTTTTCTAGAATCAAGGAATCTCATAAGAGTCAACAACCAAATGTAGCCTGGTTAAAAAAGCAAACTTTAAAAAGCCAGTTTGATGGTAACTAAAGAAATCTGAACATGGGCTAGATATTCAATAATATTAAAAATTATTATTGATTTTGTTTGGTAAAATAATGGTATTATAGTTACCTAAAAGGTGTCTTTTTAAAGAGATCCATACTGAGGTATTAAGCACTAAGTGTAATGAAAATGCTGTAGTTTACAATACTTCAGAAAAAATAAATATACCAAACTGTTAACAATCTCTTAAATCTAGGTAATAAGTATGTCATAAGTATTTCACTGTCCAGTATTTTTCTGGGAAAATGTACACAATAAATATTTTTAATTCCTGAAATTTATGTAAAATCCTCAAGTTTAAGTGCATACTTGTAACATTCATTTATATAAACACAGTTCTTTTAAGTGGAAAGATAATATACATATCCTAGAATATAGGTATATTTCTTCCAGAAGAGTAAAAAAGCCTACAATGCTTTATTTTGACACTCATCCCAGCAAAGTTGGCAACCTGAATATGTTCACCTGAAATTAAAGCCAAAAAAATTGATACATTTCTAGCAATTATTTAGAATGTAAGGGAAAAAAACTGTTTCTAGTCTCTCTATTCCGTTCTATTGATCAACTTACCTATTTTTAAACTATACCACACTGTACTATTATTAAGTTATAATAAGTCCTTATATTTGATAGAGGAAGTCTACCCTCCCTGTTACTCATGTAAGTTTAAAAACTCAAGTTCCTTTAAAAATATCTTTGAAATTTTGAATGGAATTAAATTGAATCTATGGATAAATTTGGAGAGAATTAATATCCACAAAGAGTCTTTCCCTGAATTTATTCATGTATTCCTTACTGATGTTCTGAAAAGTTTCAAAATTTGTCCTATAGAGATTTTGCTATAGAGATATTTGTAACAGGTCTAACTCTAGACACTCAATAATTGCTAAAACTAATATAAACAGTATCTTCCTTTTATAGCCTTTCTACTTCTGGCATAAACAATTGATTTTGTATGCTAATCTTATACCCAGCCAACATTGCAAAAAGAATCTCCTCATTTCTAATCATTGAATAACAGACTCTTGAGTTATTTTATATAAAAGTTTATTCTGTCTGCAAGTATTTGGGATCTGCCATTCCCAAACAGCATGCTACCAATTTAATTTTCTTATTGCACAGGCTAGGATTTCCAGCACAATGTTAGATAAAGAGTAGCAAAAATAAGTATATTTGTTCCATACCACAATTTAAAAAAAAATTCTTCTAAGATTTCCCCTTAGGATGTTGTTTACCATAGATTTTGTGTTTTTGAATTTTCTATATAGTTTTCTTTTGTTTACAGAATATTTATTAAAGTTGTTTAATGTATAATTTCTCATTTGTCATTTTGGAGGTCCTTTACTGTTAAGACTATTTTTTTGTCTGATGACAAAGAGCAGCCAGTGTCAGTGATTATTCCGGACCTCCACGTTGAACAAATTTGATTTCTTCTTGAGACATAGGTTTCCTTCTATATTTCTGACGTAACGTTTTTATTATTTCTGCAGTGTCTGGTGGATGCTGATGCATCAGCCAATCTGGCGATCTACTTCCTTTAGAATGCTGTGAAATTGAAGAAGAGTTAGATGGTAGTTCTGCTGATCTCAAAACTTCTGATACATTGGATTTAGGATGGTCTCTTCTGTTAGGGAACCTTATTAATGGAGTATGTGGCTTGACTACCTAAACAACCCTCTAGCAGATGTCTTCTTTCTGCCTATTATGATGCCCAAGAAGGGGCAGCTTCCGGGGCGCTAGCTAGTTGCAGCATCTTTTTTTTTAAACAGAGACTCTTTATCATATTAAAGAATTTTATTTCTTATCTTAATATACCAGAAAGACTTCTGTCTTTTTATGTCTCAGCTTTAGTGAGGTAAAAATGACATACAAATTTGTAAAATATTTAAAGCATACATCATGGTAATTTGATGTACATATATGCTGTGAAAAGATTCCTCCCATCTAGTAATTAAGACACCCATCACCTCCATTTATTTGTTATTTATTTATTTAATTATTTAGGTGAGAACATTTAAGTTTACTCTCTTAGCAAATTTCAATTATACAGCACAGTGTTACTAATTATAGTTAGCATATTTTACATTAGACCCTCAGGCCTTGTTCTTGTTACAGCTGCGAGTTTGTGCCATTTTACCATCCTCTTCTTATTTCCCCCATTCCACCAGCCCCTGGCAACCACTTTCCCACTGTTTCTGGGAGTTTCACTTTTTTTTTTTTTTTTAAGATTCAACATACAAATAATAACATGTAGCCTGCAGCACTTGTCTTTCTCTGTCTGGCTTATTACATTTAGCATAGTGCCCACAAGGTCCATCCATGTTGTCATGAATGGTAGGATTTCCTTTGTTCTCTTATGGTTGAATAATGTTCCATTGGATGTATGTACGTATATACACACAAGCATTACCTTTATTTTCTTCACTTTTTTTTTACAATTTTATTGAGGGGTAACTGACACACAATAACTGCATATACTTACAGTTTACAACTTATAAGTACTGACCACCTGTGAAACCATAACCAATCACAAAATGAACATAATTGGCATACCCATAAGTTTCCTCCCACTCCTCTGTAATTACTTCTTAGCGCCCCTCCCTGCTATGAAGCAACTACTGATCTGGTGTCACTACAGATGAGTTTGCATTTTTGAGAACTTCACATGAATGGAGCCATATAGGAGCTATGACTATCCACCCATGTTTAAGTCTTGAGTAAATAAGTAGGAATAAAATGACCAGATCAAATGGCAAATGCATGTTTAACTTTTTAAGAAATTGCCAAGATGTTTCCCAAAACATGTGTCTAACACAAAAGAAGGAGGTAATGAAGGAATTGAGGAACAAAAGTATATGACTTATACAAAAAATAATTGACAAAGCCTTATGAATAATTTCATTAAATATAAATGGATTAAATTCCAATTAAGAGACAGAAACTAGAAGAATAAATTTAAAAAGTGATCTAACTATGGGAGACTCATTTTAGTACCAAAGACACAGAAAGATTAAAACTGAAAGTGGAAAAGATAGCCTATGAAAACAGTAACCAATGAGAGAGCTAAAGTGCCAATACTAGTATCAGACAAAATAGACTTTGATACAGAAATTGTTGTAACAAAGAAGAATGTTTATATGATGACAAAAGGGTCAATCTATCAAGATATAACATTTATAAACATATATACACTTAACAACAAAGCCCTGAATTATACGAAGCAAAAACTTACAGAAGAGAGATATGGATAGTTCAACAATAATTTGAAACTTCAATATTTCACGTTCAATAATAAAGAAAACTGGACAAAAGCTAAGCAGGAATTTGAGGACTTCAAAAACACTATAAGCCAACTAGACCTCACAGACCCACAGAATACTCCACCAAACAACAATAGAATATGCACATTTCTCAGTAGAACATTCTCTTGGATAAATCATATGTTAGGGCACAAAACAAGTTCCAATAAATTTAAAAGGACTAAAATAATACAAAGGGTAGTCTTTGATCACAGTAGAATAAAATTAGAAATCAGTAACAAAAGGAAATTTGGAAAACTCACAAATATGTGGAAAATCGCATACTCTTAAATAACCAACAGATCAAAGAATTACAAGGGAAATTACAAAATACCTTGGGATGAATGAAAATGAAAATACAACATATCAAAACTTAAAATTTGCAATTAAAAGTAGTGTTAAGAGAAAAATTTATAGCTGTTAAAGGCCTACTGAAAAATAAGATCTCAGATAAATAATATAAACTTCTTCCTTACGGAACCTAATAAAAGAATAGCAAATAAACCCAAAGTAAGCACAGAAAAGAAATAATACAAATTAGAATGTAAATAAATATAACAGAGAGTAGAAAAACTATAGAGAATCAATAAAACTGAAACTTGTTTCTTTAAAAGTATCAACAAAATTAACAAACATTTAGCTAGATTGACAAAGATAAAAGAGAAGATTGAAATGACCAAAATCAGGCATTAAAGTAGATACTATACTATCAGTATTACAGAAATAAAAATTGCTGTAGGAGAATATTTTGAACAAGTATCTGTCAATAAATCATGTGACCTGGATGAAACTGACAAGTTCACAGAAGGATACAAACTTCTGTGAAGTTTGTGAAATCAGAACTGTCTTAAGAAGAAATGGAAAATCAAACTAGATTTCTAGCAGGAGATTTAACTAGTAATCAAAAATTTCCCAACAAAGAAAATCCAGGACTAGATGGCTTCACTGCTGAATTCTATTAAACATTTAAAAAAGAATTAACACCAATTCTTCTCAAACTCTTCTAATACACAGAAGATGGAACATTTCCTAACTCATTTTGTGAAGCCAATATTACTGATACCAAAGCCAGAAAAAGACACCA